GCCCAGGCGGGTCTCAAACCTGCGGGCTCAGGCAATCCACTCACCTCAGCCTCCCAAAGGCACAGGATTACAGGCAGAGCCATCGAGCCCGGCTCAGGATAATTTTTTTTTGAGTTGAAGTCTCCATCGTCCAGGCTGGAGTGCAGTGGCACACTCATGGCCACCCCAGAGTCAACCTACTGGGCTCTAGCATCAAGATAATTTTTAAAAATTAAATATGCCCTGTGGACTAGAGAATCGTATTGTATCACTGTTTCCAGATTTTTATCACTGTACTATGATTATGTGAGGGAAAGTTGTTGTTTCTGGGAAATGCAACATGCAGACATTTTTTGGGAAAGAGTCACAATGTCACAATGCTTATAACAAAATGAGGTGTGCGTGTGTAGCAGCTAGTGAACTTGGTAAAGTATATTCAGGTGCAGGAGTGTTTCTTTATCCTCTATTGAAATTTTTCTGTATGTTTGAAATTAATCAAAATAAAAATCTCCAAAAAATGTCAAAGGAAAAGTTAAGGCAACAACTGAAAAAAAAAAAATTCAAGTGCACTATAATTAGGTGAAAATCGAAATCCTGATATAGATGCCAAGATTGAGATAAAAAGAGTAAACACACAGGGAAATAAAAAACTAGTTAAAACAATTGAAGAAAATATAGTAATGTTCTGTTTAAAGAGGGCCCAGCATAAAGAAAATAGGTTTCCCAGCAGAAGAAAGCCAAATGGAACAGAAAAGCAATTCAAAGATACAAAAACAGAAAATTTCTTTGAAAATAAGGAGTCACTTATGCTACAGACAGAAAAAGAATCCTGCATTTTTAAAATTGGTGAATTATTGACACAGAAACAAAATGCTGAATTATCTACTGAATTTCAAGGATTAAGAAAAATATTCTTTAAGCACTTATGAAAGAAGCTTGTCACATGGGAGAGAGTAAGGAGGGAAAAAATCAAGGTGGTCTCAGGTTACTTCACAGCTAGAAAATGGCAAGGTTTAGGACAAAGGTGACCCAGACATTACCCTCAAGCCCATTTTCCGTTCATATATAAATATGGCAGGTATCCTCAGACATGAAAACTCCAACTCTAAAAAAAAGGTAATTGTAAAAATTATGGACTCAACCATATAAAATTGCCAATATTCCACTGTTTCTGGTCTACCAAAGAGTAATTTCATATAGTTCAACTTAATATTTTTGAGGTGAAAAAGTGTAGCTGAAATTTATAATGTCCTTTCATTTCTTTCTTTTTTTTTTTTTTTTTGATAACTTGGGTAAATATATGAACTATATATATAATATATATATACATATATATATATATATATATTTTTTTTTTTTTTTTTTTTTTGAGTTGGAGTCTCACTCTGTCACCCAAACTGGAGTGCAGTGGCCGCTCCCGGTCACTGCAGCCTTGACCTGCTGAACTCCGACAATCCTTCGGCCTCAGCCTTCCAAGTAACTGGAACTACAGGCGTGTGCTATCACGCCCGGCTAATTTTTGATTTTATTGTAGAGATGAGGTCTCGCCAAGTTGCCCAGGAGGGTCTCGAACCCACGGGCTCCGGCAGTCCACTCACCTCCACCTCCCAAAGGCGCGGGATTACAGGCTGAGTCACCAAGCCTGGCTTGGGTAAATATATATTTAAAACATACATTGCACAGAGTATAAATTCATTCTTATAAAATTATTACCATGTTTTCTTCAATCTGTTCATCTTAACTATGTGGTTTTATATGTGTACTTAGGACATAAATGGAGATGTTCAAAATGATGATCATTAAATGCAAATAATGGCTATTTTAAGAGGGGTTGGCTTTCGGTTTGTGTGACGTTTGTATTGCTTGACCTTTTCAAAACAAAGATGCACCATTTTTAGGAAAACAGCAAAGTCCGTCATTCTAGGGTCAGTGAGGGAGGAGACTGTGAGTTGAAACAGCAAGGGAGGAGCAAGAATGGGACACACAGGCCAGGGAACCTTCTGGCCCGCCTCTCCGATCTGCAGCCAGCCTCTTTCAGCCTGCACAAGAAACTTCACGCCACAGTGAAAGGCTTCCTTCCCTTGAGGTTCTGTTACCGAGCAGACTTCTGCATGCTCTAGGACGTGATCAGCTTCAGCTAGACTCTGTCCCCTGAGCTTGAAAATGGAGTGCACGAGCATGATTTCTCCTCGTGCAGTGGCATGCCAACCAGCAGCACTGGCAGCACTGGGGACGCGTCAGAAGTGCAGCAACTCCCCCGCTCCAGGAACCCTGAATCAGAATCTGCATTTTGACGCAATCCCCTTCCAGGATCTGCATAAACATCAAAGCTTGGAAAGCAGTGCTTTCAAAGGTCTCACAGCTCAATTCTCCAACAAGGTTGCTGGACAGTGGCTTCCATAAAGTTATAGAGATTAACCCTGCCATGGGTTTGTAGAAAGGAGAAAATGAAATTTCCCAGGCACAAGGTCTCTGTGCCACAATTTAGCTGTGTATTATGAAGGCAAAGGAGACCATAGCTGGTGTGGCAGGGTATCCACATGCTTTACGGCATTTTCAGGGTGACGTCAGGGTTTCCCAGGGAAAGGGAATGGGAAAGGGAAATGGTGGTGGTTAAAGAAGGAAAGAAAAGGCATTGCGTGTGCGTGCTTGTTTTCTTACAGTCAAGCAAAGTCAACTAACATCATCTGCAGTGAAGAGAGAAGAATTACCTGCATCCATTTTCAGCACACTAAGTTCCTTTGCCAGATTGTCTAAGGTAATTTGATCGGCAGTGTCATCTGAAAAGAGCTCATTCTGGTCAGTAATACCAACATATTCCATTTCTGCAATTTCAGAAGCAGCGCCAGATAATGACCCAGCCACTGCGCTTCTTGATCGAGGATGAGAGGATGCCAGGCAACTGGAACTTTTTTGAGCAATGTTGGAAAGTGGTAAATTTGCTGTTGACAGTCTCTGTGGCTTCTGGTCTAAAACAAAAAGGAAACATTTTTGAAATCCAGCTTCTAAAATTATGAATGCATACTTAAAAATTAAAAATGTCAGTACCTTGCATACAGGGCAGTTAGGTTCATACAATGGAGTTTATGAGAAAATCAACTTTTGATAATCATCTATTCCAGCTCACCATAATTTCTTAATCTCAAACAGCTGCCCAGATGTCATAAAGAACATTTCTGGGCAATCTTTTTCCTAATTTTTTCACATTCCAAAAAAAGACAAACTAATTTTAATATTCACTAAAGCAAAGTATCTGAACACCAAGCCAACTTCAGACCAAACAATACTCGTTTTTGTAATATATCCCAAAGCCAAGCACTGTGCCATGTTTCTTATATTCCAGGACAATGCCACACTGTAGCTTGCAAGAGCAAGCATGCATAGAATAAACATGGTGGCATTTCCTAGTGAATCGAACTTAGTTGATGGTGTGTAATGTGTTTTTACACTAAAAAATATGAAGATGCAAAATCTGTGTAAATTTTTAGAAAAACAGGACTTAAAGAAATTTAGATTTGATTTCATCTCTATTTTCATAAGGATGGACTTTCATCTAAGAAAGCGCAGGTCTCAGTCAGGTTATTACATAGTTCCACTGAGGCTGTCACTACTTGGTCTTTTATCTATTTCAAAGGTTGGCCTCTGCAATCTGTATGTTTCTTTCATAGTAAGAAAAAAAATATTTGCAAATGTTACAATAAAACAGGATAGCTAATTTATAATTTGATATTTTCCAAAAAAGTTTATTTTTTTGTTTGTAATTTTCTATAGAGACAAGTCTTGCTATGTTGCCCAGGCTGGTCTCAAACTCCTGAGCTCAAGCAATCCTCTCGCCTCGGCCTCCTAAAGTGCTAGGATTGCAGGCCTCGGCCTCCTAAAGTGCTAGGATTGCAGGCAAAAGTCACTGTGCCCAGCCCCAAAAGATATTTTCTACTAAGGCCAAGAGAATATTCAAGGTACTAGCTTTAAAAGTTCATAGTGTAGACAAATGTTTAAATGTACTGCATTTTAATGAACAATTTAGAAATAAATTTTTAAAACATTTTTTGTTTGAATAAAATTAAGAATAAATTAAAATAAGTCTTTGATCTTTTTGTGTCTATTTGTGCTCAGAGATAATTCTGAAGAAAAATAACTGGTTAAGATGTGCCTATTGTTTATGTGTGTGTGTGTGTGTGTGTGTGTGTGTGTGTGTATGTGTATATATATATATATATATATATCTTCCTAAGAATTATTTTGATGACTACAATTGGGAAGTGATTTTCTCTTTCATCTGTAATAAATGAAGAATCAACACTTTATCATAGCTTGCCATCACTACCTAAGGAAGGCATGGCAGAGTTCATAGCAGGAGCAGCACAGATCAGTGACCTAATTATATCATTATAATCACATAACCACAATACTAAGTTACAGAATACACTATAATCCCAAAGCTCTAGATCTAGGTCTATGTTATGACATGTCTACGCCAAGGCAGAATTTAAGGACATTTAGAACTCTCTTTTTGACAAAAGAAAGGCAAGGAAGATGTTGCTAGTAAGGACTGGACTTGTGCCAACACATATGGATATGAAGTAAGATGTAAAGTAATGTCTGTGCTCTTCAGAAAGTTCAGAAGTGTACTAACACTTGCTGAACTCCATGACATCTCATCACCATGGTATTTAATGTTGATTGATCCCTGTTGAGAAAAAGCAGCACGCAGAGGACGGGTCAGACACATGCTTAGCAGACAGCAGGACAGACCCTCTTTCTTGCTGGAAATATGCTCCAAGTGTAATTTAAGGTGACCAAAACATAGAAAAGGGTAGAAGCAACTCCAGTGTGGTCCTTAATTTTGTTTATTGTTCATTTAGATCATTATGTCACTCTAACATACAAGTGAATTAACACAATTGCTAGGGTTAAGATATGACACAACATTAAGACTGGCACTAACTAAAAATGACATGATTGAGAGAATCATTTAATAATTTTAAAATGACCAGTTTCTAGATTATAAACACAAGTTCCTTCTGTAGTAACATGCCCCATCAGTTGCAATGTTATCTTAATTAATGATTAACCCTGATCACAGTTGTACTCTAAATATAACAAAATCAATTTTCCTTGGTGTTAGCTAAATAATATGTTCTCTCTGGTTACTAATGAAACCATGCCAAATATTGAGAAGATGAAATACAACAGTGCCTTGAAGTTATATTAATCAGCATAACAATGCTGGTATGAATATAAAAAACACAGATTACTCACTGAATAGTATTTACCACAGTGATAATTGTTATTGCTCTTTGATATACAGCATTAGATTAGATGAGACAATTATAGTGACATAATTTTTGGATAGTGTTTTAATCGCAATAACATTTTTATCAAAGGACTTAATATTTTAATTTTGGCTAAAGGTTACAAAACGTTATTGTGTATTGACATTCTTGTTCCACTGTATAAACTGCAGAGAATTTGTACATTAAAAAACAGAGATAAATTTTCCAAGAATTCTTGAAACATATACAGAAACTGTATCTGGCAGCATGTTTTAGTGAATGCTAAGCTAGGCAGCGAAGAACATGATTGTGGCATCTCACTGAGTTAGAAAACAGCTTATGACCTGAGACACATAAAATTAAGGAAATGGGCAGCAAAGCATCTCAAATCCTCTTCAACTCTGAGAACTTGTGGATTAATGCTCAATCCAAGGGCTGGGTGTGGTGGCTCATATCTGTAATCCTAGCACTTTAGGAGGCCTATGTGGGAGGACTGCTTGAGGCCAGGAGTTCAAGACCAGCCTGGGCAGCATAGTGAGATATCCTCTCTACAAAAAAACAAAAAAAAAGTAAGGAGTGATGGCGCACGTCGGTAGTTCCAGCTACTCAGGAGGTTGAGGCTGCAATGAGCTGGGATCATGTCACTGCACTCCAGCCCAGACCACAAGACAACAGAGCAAAACCCTGACTTGAAAAAAAAGAATTACAGAATTATTTATCAGCTCCAAAAACTGCCAGGCACTATGTCAGGATCAGCGTATTCAAGAGGGACAAAGACACTGCTACCATCATGCTGCACTCCAAACCAACACATACTCGTTCACTCCCTCTTGCTGAACACCTTCAATGTGCCAACTTGCACTGAGGACGCACCAAGAAACAGCAAAGGATGGTCCTTGCTTTCCCACTAAAGGTAGGGTAGGAGAGAGCAAAAATAAATAAATAGGTGGGCACGGTGGCTCCGCCATCATCCCAGTGCTTTGGGAGGCCAAGGCGAGAGGATTGCCTGAGCCCGCGGGTTCAAGACCAGTCTGGGCAACTTGGTGAGACCTCATCTCTATAATAAAACACAAAAAATACAGCTGGGCATGGTGGTGTATGTCTGTAGTTCCAGCTACTTGGAAGACTGAGGTGGAAAGATCGCCTAAGCCCAACAGGTCAAGGCTGCAGTGGCTGTGAGTGTGCTACTGCACTCCAGCCTGGATGACAAGAGTGTGACTCCAACTAAAAAAAAAATTAAATACATACATACATGCATAATAAATAAAGTAATGTCAGACAGTGGTAGCTTTTATGAGAAAGATAATGGAAGGTAAAATGTGATGAGGGGACTCCAGAAACCAGCATTAGATCTGGTGGTCTCAGAAGGCCTGATGGCATCTGTACTGAGATGGAATCATGGGAAAGATCCCGTTCTCTGGAGGGAAGAGTGTGAGAAAGGAGGAGGAAGTTGCAGAACATCCTGGATCAGAGGAAAGACTAAAGTCTAAGAGCAAGTGAGTTACACCATGTCCTGTTGAGAAACAGAACTCATCTTGACTATGTGGAAGACACAGCTGGGAGAAACGGGTAGCCAGCCTGGGCATCGCTGTGGGATGTGGAGTAAGGGGTGCATGTTTTTCAACCTTCTGGAGGAAGCTGTGGGTTGCTTTAGGCAGTAGGATGATATGACACAATTTCTGGCTTATGTGCAGAGTCTGGCTCACTTCCTATAAACAATAAATTATTTTATCAATATAAACAATGCACTCACTGACTATAAACAGCAGACGTTGATGGAAAGTAATCACAGACACATGATTTGGGGAGGGGCAAAAGGGAAACTGGGGACAGGGAGCGATGATGGACAACCGGCTTGGGTCATCTTGAGGACTGGAGACACAAGCAGTTAGATTTGGGCTCCATTTGGGAGTTGACATCAGCCACGTCTATGGACTTGGTGAGTGAGAGAATGGTTCCCAGGTTTGGGACTTCATCAGTGTTTAGGTGGTGTTCCCATTCGCAGAAAACTAAACAGGCCGGGAGGAGGAGGCTGCAACCAGAGGTGGAGGGAGTCAGCGAATTTCCTGCTACAGCCACAAAGCCACCATCTGCAGTGCCATCATGTTTTTACACTCACACAATTAAAAATCTTATGGAAGTGGGAATTCCTTTATATACTGGCATCAGTTCAGAATACAAGATATCTATCTGTAACTTGAGACAGCCATAAATTTTTCATCAGGCCACACTCCCTGTCCAGAAAGCCATTTCCCAACTCCCCTCACTGGTAAATGTTGTTACTTTTTAAAGACTTCATTGAAATGTCACCTAACTCAGACAGTCTCAAAACTGTTTGTTTCAATTGGCCATTTAGGTTTAATAATAAAAGACTGGTTAATGATAACAATGCACCATAAAACTTTCAGAAGGAAAGGAGAATGTTTTGTGGACCATTTTGGTGTGGTTTTTTTGTTGTTGTTTTTTGGGGGTTTTTTTTGTTTGTTTTTTTTTTGAGTGTGGCAGTTTTATTAGTTTTTGAAATCAATGCCTTTTAATGGAAACAACTTGACCAAAAATCTGTCACAGAATTTTGAGACCCATTAAAACAAAGTTTAATGAGAAAAAAAAATGTCACCTCGTCTCCAATGCTGTGCCAATTTATACTTTTCTATAATTTGTGTTTGCACATAAATTTGTGTGTGAAATAGCAGTTTTCTCAAAATGTAATTTTTAGACTATCTGCATCAGCATCACAGGCAGTTGTCAATAGAATAAATGCTGTTTCCTGAACCTTCACTCAACTTCTGAGAGTGAGATCCATAAATCTGCATTACAGCTGGTTTCCCAGGCGATTCTGCTCACCCTGGTGTTCAAGAACCTCCACAGTGGACTCTAAGCTCTTGGGAAATAGTGACAAATGTTTATGTTGTGTCACCAGTGTCTGGCAGGGCCTAGCCTACAGTAGATGCTTCAACAAACTTTTTACTGTGAATTATTGATTTTGACTCATCTGCCCAGATTGATGCTTAAAAGCACTTGGCTACTTATTTATACAGATTTGTCTTCATAATAAATTTCTCACAGCATGCTCATGAATTTGCTTTCATGAATATATACGGTGACTTATATCTGTTGCTTCAGACTGCCTTAAAAGGAAGCAACAGGAGGTTTGGACACCACTCTGAACATTGATGCAAAATAGGCACCTGATTATAGAACCAAAAGCATTTTGAAAAGAGATTGTTTCTCCACTAATTTTTTTTCTCTGACAGATTCTCAACATAAATGCATACAGCAAAGAGCTAAGCTGGCCAAGGAGTTCTAAGAGTGTGGGGCAAGAAAGACATAGAAATTATACACGTGTGTGTGTGTGTATGTGTGTGTGTGTGTGTGTGTGTGTGTATACACACATATAAAATGTGTAATTAAATTTTGGGCTTGAAGACAGCCTCTAAGCCAAGGCAAACTGCCAACTTTGTCATGTATTCATCCTAAGCTTGTACTTCCTAAGATCTGGGGACATAACTTCCATCCCTAGGGCCAAGCATACAGCTAGTATACTCCACACAGAGGTTAAATTGCCTTAATTCATCAGTTATCTACTGCAACTTCTTAGGAAATTCAGCATATGGCAAACCTACTATAGCAAGTATAATGGGAAAACAGCAATGTCCTAATAACACTAGTGAGTTTGACAGTGTCATACTCTCCTTAGGAAAATATTACAGTGGACATTCAACTTGTCAAAAGAGTTATCCTATGGGGCATTTTGCATTTACTTTGCTTGGAGAATGGAGCTAATGAACTGAAATCAAGATCCCAGGGTCAACACACACAGTGTTAGGCTGAGAACCAAGCTTTCTCAGCCTCCACTATAAGCAACACTCTTCACCTAAGCCAATCAACCCCACATGGCTCTGTGGATTACAACATGAACCAAGAAGAGAGTGTGCAAAATCTAAGTATTAACACGCGCTTCATGAGTGTGTAAAGAACTAAGTATGTGTTTTACAAGAATTGCCCAAAATATACCACATCCTGAGTTACATTTTACTCATATTATTTCTGAATGCATTGTTATAAAAAATATCTAAGACTGACTCATGTGTGCTGAGAGGAGTAATGAGTACACTTGGGGTTTCTGTCTGCTTGTTTGCTTTTGTTTTGGGAGAAATGTTCAGGACATATATTTATATTGAATATGTTTAAATTGTGTAACTTCAGCGACTAATTTTCAGGTGCCTAAAAAACTGATAAACCACAGACTACTAAAGGAAGCCACAAGATGGCACTGCTGCCTTTGAGTCATTGTTACCCATCTTTTGCCGTCTTGTAGTCGATGACGGGTTCTGGGCACTCTGCACAATGCCCAAGGCAGCTGCATCATCCGCATGCTGACTTAAGCTGAGGTCTGGGATCCATTCTCTGTCTTCTATAATAGAAAATGTTCAGATAGGTTTGAAAAGAGGAAATCCACACTGTTAACTATGTTTCTTGTCTCACTGGCCAAGATTTAACTGAATAAGGATTATTTATAACAGTGAGATATATTATGAAATACACAGTCTTATAATTATGTATTAAATTAATATAATATATTAATTATATTAATACATTATGTATATTAATATAATTATATATGATTTAAATATATAAATTAATATAATACATTAAATTAATATATCTTGATTTAAAATTAAAACCATAAATTGCAAGCATAATATACATCTACTGGCTGGTTATATACTTTTAAAAATATTTGTTTTAGCCGGGCTCGGTGGCTCAGCCTGTAATCCCTCGCCTTTGGGAGGCTGAGGTGAGTGGATTGCCTGAGCCCGTGGGTTCAAGAACCGCCTGGGCAACTTGGCGAGACCTCATCTCTACAATAAATCAAAAAATTAGCCGGGCGTGGTAGCGCGCACCTGTAGTTCCGGCTACTTGGAAGGCTGAGGCGGAAGGATCACCGGAGCTCAGTGGGTCGAGGCTGCGGTGGCCAGGAGCAGCCGCTGCACTCCAGTCTGGGCGACAGAGTGAGACTCCAACTCAAAAAAAAAAAAAAAAAAAGGTATATAACCATGCAACATAAGATGTAATAGTTTGTGTGCAATTAAATACATTTGACCATATATAACACCTAAGAATATAGATGATACCAAGACCTAGCTGTCAAAGGAAACTACAAAATCATGAATATCTGAATATGTGTGTAACTTCTAGGGAGATTGGATTTGTGATAAAAAATTTCCCAATGAAGAAAAGTTCTGAACCTGATGATTTCATTGATGTTTGAGTTTCACTGATGTTTAACTTCTACCAAACATTTAAAGAACTAACTCCAGCTGGGCTCAATGGCTCAGCCTGTAATCCCACGCCTTTGGGAGGCTGAGGAGAGTGGATTGCCTGAACCCGTGGGTTTGTGACCCGCCTGGGCAGGCGAGACCTCATCTCTACAATGAATCAAAAAATTAGCCAGGTGTGGTAGCACGTGCCTGTAATTCTGGCTACTTGGAAGGCTGAGGCAGAAGGATCACCAGAGCCCAGCAGGTCAAGGCTGTGGTGGCTGGGAGTGGCCACTGCACTCCATCTGGGTGACAGAGTGAGACTCCAACTCAAAAAATAAATAAATATAAATAAATAAAAAATAAAGAACTAACTCCAATCCTTCTCAAAGTTTTCCAAAAAATTGAAGAAGAGATACATTAACTCCTTCTATGAGGCCAGCACTACCCTGATACCAAAGCTAAAAAAAAGACTCTACAAAAAAAAAATAGCACAATATCCCTTATGAGCAGTGACAAAAAAAGTCTTAATAAAAATATTAGCAAGGTGGCTCAGCCTGTAATCCCGTGCTTTGGGAGGCTGAGGTGAGTGGATGGCCTGAGCCCGTGAGTTGCCCGCCTGGGCAACTTGGCGAGACCTCATCTCTATAATAAATCAAATATTAGCCGAGTGTAGTAGCACGCTCCTGTAGTTCCAGCTACTTGGAAGGCTGAGGCAGAAGGATCGCTGGAGCCCAGCAGGTCGAGGCTGCGGTGGCCGGGAGCGGCTACTGCACTCCAGTCTGGGCGACAGAGTGAGACTCCAATTCAAAAAAAAAATACTAGCAAACAAAATTCAGCAATATATTTAAAGAATTACACACCATGATCAAGTGCATTCTAGAATGTAAGGATGGTTCAACATATGAAAATCCATCAGTGTAATACAAATTAAATGAAAGGAAAAAATATTATCTCTATGCAGAAAAAGCATTTGACAAAATTTAATGCCAACTAGAAGCACAAAGAAATGGCCTCCATATAATAAAAGCCATAGACAAAAATCCCACAACAAACATCATACTTAATTGTGAAAGACTAAAGTCTTTTCAAGGCAAGAATGCCTACTTCCATTACTTCTATTCAACAAAGTACTGGAACTTCTGACCAGAGCAATTAGGCAAAAAAATAATAAAAGATGTTCAAACTGGGAAAGGAGTAGAATTACCTCTGTTCATAGATGATATGATGTTATATGTAGAAAATCCTAAATATTTTTTTAAAAATCCCCAACAATTCAAACTAATACATGAACTCAGTAAAGTAGCAGGATATAAAGTCAATAGGAAAAAAAAAGTTTTCTATACACTAATGATGAACAACTTCAAAGGAAAATTAAGACAATTCCATTCACAATAGCATCAAAAAGAATAAATTAATTAGGAATTAATGTAACTAATGAGGTGAAAGACTTGTACAATGAACACTACAAAACATTGCTGAAAGAAATTTAAAACATGAATAGAAACACATCCCATGTTCATGGATTGGAAGACTTGCTATGAGGGGGGAATCTCAAAAAAAAAAAACTGGACAGTATTTATAAAAAAGCTGTGTATTTACTATTACATGTTTAAAACTTAGTCACCTTCAAAGTACTCTGATGTAATACACCTACTGAGATTCTTTTTCCATTGCTCAAAACAATTTTTGAACTGTTTTGAACTTCAGAAGCCTTTTAGTGCTTATTTTTACCTCTTCCACATCGGCAAGATGTTTCCCTTTACGGACTTTTTCCATCCGGGGAAACAAAAAACAGTTACTCGGGGAGAGATGGGACATGGTGGGGGGAGGCATGCCATTTTTGGCTAATAACTGCTGAGCACTCAGTGCAGTGTGGGCAAGTTGTTAGTGTCAATTACCCTTCATGAAAGAAGCAAACACATTAGAAGAATCTTCAAAAATAAAATGCACTGATGACAAATGCAGCCTCCCACAGCAACATGAGCTGGCACACTGATGGGTTCCTAGAACCCTGACTTGGTGAGGAGAAAAGGCTGTGCTACAAGGGTCTCATCCTGTAAAAGACAATTTCAGTTTTTTGGGGTCCCCCCTTGCAGTGCTAAGATGTCAATGCTACCCAAATAATCTACAGATTCAATGGAATTTCTATCAAAAGCTCAATGATATTTTTTATGGAAACAGAAAAACTCATCCTAAAATTCATATGTAAATACAAGGGACCCTCCATAGCCAAAAAAGTTTTAAAAAACAATCCGTCTGGAGGCCTCACACTTTCTGATTTTAAAATTTGTTACAATAATGCAGTAATCAAAACAGTGTGGTAGTGGCATACAGACTTACAGACCAATGAAGTAGCATAGACAACCCAGAAATTAACATATATAGGTCAAATTATTATTTGAAAAAAAGTGTGTGTGTGTAAACAGAGAGAGAGAGAGAGAGAATGTATACACATTTTTGTACATGATATGCTGAAATACACATACCTTGTGGAATGGCTAAATACAGCTAATTAATATACTTACCTCACACACTTCTCACTGTTTTGTGGTGAGAGTGTTTGAAATCCACTCTCTTGGACAAATAATTTTTGACAAGGGTATCTAGACCATTCAACTGGGACACTACAGCCTTTTCCACACATGGCTTCAGGAAAAGTGGTATCCACACACAAAATAATGAATCTAGGCCTTTACCTAACACCAGGTGTAAAAATTAACTCAAAAGGAATCAAACCCTAAATACAAGACCTAAAACTAAAAAACTCTTAGGAGAAAACATAGATCAAAAGCTCTATGGCACTGGATTTGGAAATGATTTCTTAAATATTACTCTGAAGGCACAGGTAACAACAACAAAACAGACAAATTGGACTGCCTCAACAGTTTTAAAAATCTGCATCAAAAGACACCATCAACAGAGTAAAAAGGCAACCCACAAAATGAGAGAAAGTATTTGCAAATTATTTATTTTGCAAGGAAAGTAGTATCTAGAATATAATGAAACTGCTACAGTTCAACAGAAAACCTGAATAAAAAATAAGCAAAGAGATCAGAGGTGGAGGCTCATGCATGTAATCATAGCACTTTGGGAGACAGAAGCGGGAAGACTGCTCGAGCCCAGAGGTTCGAGACCAGCCTAGACAACACAATAAGACCTTGTCCTTACAAATAAAAATTAAAATAAAAAATTAGCAGGTGTGGTGTTGCATGCCTGCAGTCCCAGCTACTCAGGAGGCTGAGGTGGAAGGATTGCCTGAGCCCAGGGGGTTGAGGTAGCTACATTCATGCCACGGCACTCCATCCTGGGCAACAGAGTGATACCCCAACTCAAAACCAACAAAAAGAGCAAAGGATTCGAATAGACATTTCTCCAAAGAAGATACACAAATAGTTAATAAGCCCATGAACAGAGGTTCTATGTCATTAATCGTTAGAGAAATTGCAAATCTAAACTCCATCAGATTTAGGGGACACACTGACACACTGAGGATGACTACTGTTAACAAATGCAAAAAAACAATGATCAAAGATATGGAATAATGGAACTCTTATACCCTGTTGGCAGGAATGCAAAACAGTACAGCCACTGTGGAAAACAGTATGATGGATCTGCAAAAATGTATAAATCAAATTGCCATGTGACATAGCATTCCCCTTCTGAGCATAAGCCCTGAAGAACTGGAACTAGGGTCTTCAAGAGATATATTGTTCAACTCATGCTCACAGCAGCATTATTCCCAATGGCTAAAAAGTGAAAGCAACCCAAGCGTCCATCAGTGTGTGAATGAATAAGCCACATGTGGCCTGTTCATACAATGGAATAATATTTAGCCTCAAAATGGAAGGAAATTGTTTTTTTAAAACCCCTTTCATCTTTAACAGTGACTTTCAAAGTAAGTCCCATAAAGTCCTAGGGATCTGGGAAAAAGCATGTAGGAAAAGCTTGGCAGGCAGAGCTTAGACCATCCATTTTAATTTTTCTATATTTTTATTTCTTTCATGAAAAAGAAAGAAAATTCTGACACATGCCTCAACATGGATGAAACTTGCAGACATTATGCTAAGTGAAATAAGCCAGTCACACACACAAAAATCTAAATTCTCTATGATTCCACTTCTATAATAAGTACTTAGAGTGGTCAAAATCATAGAAACATAAAATAGAGTGGTATTTAATGGGGGCTGCAGGAGGGGAAATGCTAAGATACTGTTTCATGGGTACAGAGTTTCAATAGTGCAAGATGAAGAGAGTTCTGGTGATAAGTGGTAATTATCACTACACAATATTATAATGTATTTAATGCCACTGAACAATACACTTAAGAACGGTTACAGCAATAAATTCTAAGTTATGTGTATTTCACCACAATAAAAAATTGGAAAAGAAAAGGAAATTACAGATATGTCTCAGAAATTTCACAGATACTAAGATTTTGAGATTTGTTTTTCAGATAGAATTAAAGAGTCACCACGTAATATTTAATATCAATAAAGGAATTCAGGGAATTTCTAATATTTTATGATATAGTAAGAACCATTGCTATATTCAGATGTTTGTTCCCCTAAATCTGATGTTGACTTTTGATCCCAATGTTGGCGTTTCGGCCTAATGGGAGGTGTTTGGGTTTTGCAAGTGGATCCCTTATAAACATTGGGCTGAAAAATTCACAGCATTTTTCACTAGCTTATGGAATGCAAATGTTGCATGATATGGTTGGTCACAGTTCACTACTTTGGCTCATTGCAAATTAAAGCATTTAAATGACCTTTGTCAAAGCACAATGGTCTTCCTGAATGTGGAGAATCAATCAGGTCAAAGTGGCCCTCTTTGAAATGACAGAAGCATTGCCTTGCCATGCTTTCCCCGATGGCGTTCTCCCTGTACAGGGCATAAGTGTTTTAAGCCACCTCTGTGCCCTTTACTCTCTTGTTAAACTCAAACAAAAGACAATGTCGGAAGTGTTCCACCACTTGACACTTCACCTTCTTTAGCCCACAAATAGCACTAGCTTTCTTCAAATCTGCAAAATGTAGGGTGTAGTCACGAGCACAACATTGTCACTCTGAATCACAAATGACAAATAATAAACACCACGTGCTGCCAAATCAAACACAAATGCTACTTACTTATGCATCAACCTACCTAGTAATGTCATTGGGGTGGAGGACGGTTGAGCAAGCGCTCACTCTACTATGTACCATGCAAGAGAGCTGATTGCACCAAAGGACCTGGGCCCTCGCCCTCACTCTCTGACTTCCTCTCTCGCCATGTGATCTCTGCACACCAGCTTTCCTGCCCTTCCTTCCATGGCTGGAAACAGTCTGAGGCCTCACCAGATACGAGTGCCATGCTTCTTGTACAGCCTGCAGAACTGTGAGCCAAATAAACCTCTTTTCTTTATAAATTACCCAGCCTCAGGTATTCCTTTGTAGCAACACAAAATTGACTAAGATAATCACACTTCTAACTTCTAAAAATAATCTTCTCCTACCTTTGTTATAGTCCTTTCCTCACATCCTGGTAGTAGCCTTGAATGTCAATATACAACAACTCACACAAGGGGAACAGTTTTAGCTAGGCAAGAAGAAATGATTTTATTCATTAACTAGGATTCCAAGTATTTCCTAAGATGAGGACAGACGTTTAAAAACAATGAGTTAGAAACATGTAAGGTTGGACCATAGGATATCTGATTTCATGTATTAATTTACCTGCAAGCATAATCCTAGTACTGGGTTCACTGCATTCTAAACTACAAGAAGGCAGGAAGTTGAGTCTCTCATTTTCATCAAAAACAAAGAATCTCTCAAGTCCTTGATATTGCTCAGTTATAGGCTTACTTCTGAGGGCTATTTCTTGTAACTAGGAAACAAAATATGCAACAAAATTAATTTTTTTTCTACTTGATCCAAACAAAAAAGCAGACACCTCCTATAATCCTTGCAACAAATTCTAAGACTAGGTTCTAATAGTGAAGACAAATAATAACAAAACATTTAAATAAGTTTAAAAAAAAACACTTAAATATAGTAAGTTCTAAAAAACATATAAGCCACAATTACAGTATCTGCAAATTTCTATATGAGGATGATAGAAGTTCATAAATTAAAATAAAGTTTTTCTTTGTATCTTCCCTTCTTATTTTTTTCCCCTCAGTATCTTTGCACATAAATTATTCTGGAATATAGAGTTGCTTTCATATTCAATGCATTTGAACTAGTGTCTTCACCTATATATAAAATAACTTCAAAGATAAATGTAAAATACCAACGGGAATACACCTAATTTGATAATGGTCTAGGAAAAAAAACCCAAGTTAACCAACACATATCATGAAACAAATAGACAAATAGGAAAGTGAGGCAAAAGAAAGAGAAGCAACTTTTAAAGCATATATACCTAGAAACTAGCAGACCTGGGCTTTGAATATATATCCGGCTGGTTTGAAGCAGAGGTTAATTAATAAGCCCCATCAATTCCTTTTTAGTATGTTTTTATTCTAGGATAAACTGTAACTGAGATTTAAAAAACACATGACTCCGGTAAGAAACAGACTAGGAATTCAGAAGCAAGAGCTTGGATGTGCTTAAAATAGAATCAGAGTGGCTATCAGCATTTAATAATTCCCTAATGAATCTAATCAATGTCCATATACAGTCTGTTTCAACAAATGAAACAATTTACACTGTTATAACTCTACACAAGATTATAAATCATGTAAACAAGAACATATTACAAAACAAAGCTAGTGGCAAAGTGTGTCACTCAAAGACAAATCCAAGAGCACACTTCTCAGGACCTCCTCCCTGACTCTCCCAGACACTGATCAGTGACTATCAGATTCCCCCAGCTCTAGTGAATCATGCCACTGCAAGTCTGAAAGGGTGTTAAAACTCTCCTTTCCAGATAAGAAAACTTAGAATGGCTTTGTTTTCATCCACACTCACAAAGTAAGCTGTTGATGCTTTCAGAACAAAGGACCAGAACAAAGGCCCACTGTCTTACCAACTGCTGCCCTAGATCTCAATTCCACAGGAAGCTCCACCTTATGAAGAAATCAAATAAATAAATAAATAAATCAGTTCCTGAAAACTGAAGTCCAAACGGTCTTATGCTTAATCTTGGTGGAGCACAGCAGTTTCTGCTTAGGGAATAGGTGGAAAAGAAAGTAGGTCCAACCCCTTCATTCAAAAGCAAGAATTCGGTCTGTAAACTGCAAAGGTCTGATTCTTCCGACAGCCACTTCAGAAAGCGCTCTTTATTCTACAGACCCTGGCACCTGTGTTTTGCAACTGGCAGTATTCAGAACTCATCCTAGCTGTGACCTGTTCACGAAGACCAAGCATCTTGGGAAAGAAGGCAATCCAGGGAACCCGTGCCACTCAGCTTAAATCCTGCCACAAGTGGGAGACTGTTTCTTTGAAACTATTGACACTGGCTTTTTATTTTTTGTTACTTTTTATTTTAAAGATGTGTACAAGTCAGGGCTAGAGATACAAAGGCACTGAAATACTGCTTATTTTTAAAAAGGGCACTCCTCAAGCTGTAAGAAGGAACAAAGAGCACAAGGAAGAAGTGTAAAGGGAAAAAGCAGGAATAGCTCTAACCTTGAGGCAGGCATTACTCCTTTCCTTGAAACTTTCTCTGTAGACATTACGCAATTGATCGTGCCCTTATCCACGCACCTGCATAACCAACTACGTCTGCTTCTGTAAACTTACCTGCTTGCCCACGCCTCCAGAGTGTTGCAATACGAGCCCTGGGAAGTCCCAAGTTCTATCTTTAGCCTGCCAGGATGTAAATCTAAGTACATATGACAGCCCTGTGTTGCAGCTGGGCCTGCTTGCTGGGAACTAGTTCCCTGCAAGCCTTCTGGCCAGCAAGGGCCTTGACGAACAAACCTCTCCTCTACTCATTCAAGTCGGTGGGCTGTCATTTAATTGCTCGGACTCTACTTCAAACCCGGAGAGCCATTCGTCTCTCGAGGGCTCCTCTGAAGTCCTAGGACAGACTCTTCCCGAAAAGGCCACGAGGGTCTCAGTGCAACGCCCCCGTGAGGAAAAGGCACACTTTCCGTGCAACTATTCCACTGCTGTCCAGGACTCCACCGAGTCCCCAAACTGAAAAAGCAGCAGCCACGGAAGCCATTTTGCAAGGTCACTGGCTTTGGGTCATTTCAGCAGGCTCGGGCTGGCGAGACCTTACACATCCCTGGCATCTAGACGCTGACTCAGACGGTTTCCTGAACCAGCTCCGTTGGGACAGATGCGACGCCGAGCCATTTGTAGTGTTAAATGGAATAGAACAAGAATGAGTCCTAAGCACACACATCTTCCCGCCAGCGAACATCCAAACTTAGTGATGCGCTCTCTACCTTAATTAGATAGGGTGGCACGTGTTACCACAGAAAGGTCGAGAAACTCGGATGGAAGTGAGGGGAGCTACTTAAGTCACAGCTGTCCTGATGGACCCCGACCAGTCAAGGAGACCAGGGAGTTGACTGGGAGGTGAGTCACTGGATTACTTCCCTAAACCGAAGTGTCCCTAGGAAACTGGATTAGAACATAGGCCCTGCCTGAGGGCAGAGCATGGTTTTCCCTTCCCCGTTCCTTTGAGCTTGGTTTATTGTTATATGACTTTGGAGTCAGATTCCTGGCTGATTAATTTTTACTTTTTCTTAAACTTGGAATTATAAACTTCCCAGTAAGCAGTATTTGAGCTTCATCCTACACGTTTTTTTATATGTGCTACTTTTGCTTGCATTCAGTTCTAGATATTTCTAATTTCTTTTTTGATCTCCTTTTGAAATCCTTAATGCAGACTTACCTGAATTTTATTTTACTGTTACCATTTTGCTATGAATTTATATTTTATCCTGACTGGAAAACACAGCATGTAATATTACTTATTTAGCATTTATTGAGACTTCCTTTGTGGTTTTACTTTTGTAATGGACTGTGATGTGTATTTTGTAAATGTTCCTGACCTTTGCAAGAACACACATCCTCTAATTATTATGTGGTTCAAAATGTTATTTAAGCTTATTTGAGTTGATTAAATCTTTTGTATTTGTACTCATACAAAATTCCATTGGGTTGATGGACTTGCTGATATTACCATGTAGTTTTGTGCATTTTTGCTACAGTGTATCTAAAGCTATATTGATGAATACATACAAATTCAGATTTTCTTTAATCTTCCTGCTAAAAGTTGATTTTATTGTATATTTAATGCTCCTCTTTGCCCTGGAAATGTTTTCTTACCTACATTTTTAAATATTCCTTTTTAAATAGTGCGTGCCTTTACTCTGAGACTTTTCCTTCCATATTTTAAGTATGTTTCTGGTAAAAAAAAAAAAATATATATATATGTATATATAGATATGGATTTTGATTTTATATTCAAGCTTGAAATCTGTCTCTTACTGTAAATTACACAATTTAATATGTTCACAGTTATTCTAATTATATGACTAGATTTATTTCTGTCAGTTTACTTTTTCTTTTTCTTTTTCTTTTTTTTTTTTTTTTTGAGTTGGAGTCTCACTCTGTCACCCAGACTGGAGTGCAGTGGCCCCTCCCGGCCACCGCAGCCTCGACCTGCTGGGCTCCAGCGATCCTTCCGCCTCCTTCCAAGTAGCTGGAACTACAGGCACGTGCTACCATGCCCGGCTAATTTTTTATTTATTGTAGAGATGAGGTCTCACCAAGTTGCCCAGCACGTCTCGAACCCGCAGTATCAGGCAATCCACTCACCTCAGCCTCCCAAAGGCGCGGGATTACAGGCTGAGCCACCGAGCCCGGCTAGTTTACTTTTTCTATTTGATGTCAAGAACTGTGAAAGGTCCGGGATTTACCCTACTTGCAAACCTGTTACCGTTTTGGGGTTTTTTTTTTTTTTTTGAGTTGGAGTCTCACTCTGTCGCCCAGACTGGAGTGCACTGGCCGCTCCCGGCCACCGCAGCCTCGACCTGCTGGGCTCCGGTGATCCTTCGGCCTCAGCCTTCCAAGCCGGAATTACAGGCATGCGCTACCAGTTACCGTTTTATGGATGCTGGCAGAAAACACAAGACTCCTTGGTCAGAGACAAAGGACCCTAAAAGTCACTGCAACAGCAACTGTCAGAGTATCATCATTTGCACAAATTCTCAGAACACAGTTTCCACCGGACAACCTGAAGAGAGATAAGGGCCACCTCTGCGTACAGTGGGCTGTGTTCCAGGAGAGAAATTTCTTAGAGAAACCAATGCTTTTACACTGGGCAGCAAGTTTGTCTGGCCTTGCCCTAGAAGAAGACATTATCTTTATTACACCGGGCAGTAAGCAAACCTGCTCTTTGCTCTGAAGAGAAATACAATCACTGTCTTCCAAGGCTGTTTGCTTTACAAGCACCTTTGAAAAGATTCCTTGGAACAAAGGCAGTCCAGGGCCTTGACTCAATAATTGTGCAAAAACATGAAAATCCTAAAAGTAATTGTACACCTAACATCTATCCATACCATTTTTTTCTTTGACTAATGTATTTTCTAGTCATTTATTTTCTATTAATTAATTGAGTTTTCCACACTTTTTTTTCCTTTACTATTTTGGATGATTTATATTGTATCTGTAATATTTTGATTGTTACTCAAAATATTTAGTATATATAGCTGATTAAAAACTGTAATTAGTAAATGATCTCTACAATATAAGACTTTATTAGTTTTAAATCCAATCACACCTAACAGTCTAACAAGTTTAATTGTATATTATTCTCATTTAAGTTTTTTTGATAATTCTCAAATTGGATATGATAGTCGTTTTATGATACAGCTGGTACATTTGCTATTTCCCCCCACATCATTTATTACATCCTGCTTCTTCCTTCTGGCTTCAGTTTCTTTCTTCCTGAAGTATATTTCTCAGTTGTACTTTTAAGGAGAGTAATAAGAAATCAGCTGCCTGAGCCTTTGGCTAAACATGCCATTGTATTACTCTTACTTTTGAATGGTAGTTTTACAAGTCTTAGAATTCTAGATTGTCAGTTCTCTTAGGACTTTTAAGATAATATTCTACTGTGCTGTGCTGTGGAGGCTTGCTTGCGGTGCATGAGAATTTTACTGTCAGTTCAGTAATTATTCTTTAGAGATAATTTTCCATTACCTCTGATTGCTTTATGATTGCCATGTTATGTGGTGTCTCAAAAATAAGTTATAGTGTGAATTTGGTTTTACTTATATTTTCAGGAATTACACTTTGTTTATATTTTACAATCTCTTACAGATTTCTATGTGTCTTTATTTTAACAAAGCAACTTTTTTCAAAAAGTTCTCTCTGGGTTCTTCTTTTTATGTATTTAATAAAAACAAAACACCAAATGGATACTAAACAGTGTCTATTTAATTGTAATTCCACTGAATATATGTTGAATGATTAGTTGAATAAACATATAATTTGAAGGGGCTAGTGCTAAGTGAAGGTGTCAGATTGATATATACAGTATGATATGAATTAATGAAATAGAAGATGATCTGTAAAATGTCCAAAGATTTATTGTTTTGTGGCAAAACTTACTATTGCCCAATGTTTGAAATTGATTTTCTTTTAGGAATTCCTGTTTCTCAAATCAGTGATGTGAACAAGTATGTGGCCACTTTGATAATGTATAGAATGTTTTCATTCCTCAAATGGCACATAGAAGGTAAAAATAAACAATGGATGATTTCTGAAAAAATATATGTAATTTGAACTTTTTGATTGGCCTTCATAAATAAAGCAATTCACAGTAACTTTTTATTAAGTTTTAAGAACTTCTAGCCGAGCTTGGTGGCTCAGCCTGTAATCCTGCGCCTTTGGGAGGCTGAGGTGAGTGGATTGCCTGAGCCCGTGGGTTAGAGACCCGCCTGGGCAACTTGGCGAGACCTCATCTCTACAATACATCAAAAATTAGCCGGGCATGGTAGTACGTGCCTGTAGTTCCAGCTACTTGGAAGGCTGAGGCGGAAGGATCGCCGGAGCCCAGCAGGCCGAGGCTGCGGTGGCCGGGAGTGGCCACTGCACTCCAGTCTGGGCGACAGAGTGAGACCCCAACTCACAAAAAAGAACTTCTTCTTCCTGTCTTTAAGCATTTTGAGTATAATCTCACAAGACAGAGACTGTGTTTCTCTTCAGAGCAAAGAGCAGGTTCTTTTAACGCCCAGTGTAGTAAAGATTCTGTCTTCCACTAGGGCAAAGGAGAGTCAGGCTTGCTGCCCAGTATAAAAGAATTGGGTTCCCTAAGTTCAGGATTCCTCTCCTGTAACATAGCCCCCCGCATATGTAGGTGTCACCCAGCTCTCTTCCTGATGCCCTCAGGAAATTGGGAAATTAGAGTTCTTGTTTGTTCTGTTTCCTGAAATTCCTGCTGAGACCAGTTGTTTTCTTCATTGGAGGAGGGGAAGAGAAGCCCATCTGAAGTCAACATTTATTTGGGGGAATCTGTTGTGGGCTAAGTTGTGAGAATGGACTTCTAGAAAGTATTAGAATATGCTTCTGCCAGATATATCATGGTAAGAATAGGCATGGGTTATCAATGATGCTAACTTCTTGGCTAGAAGATTCTGGACAAGAAATGAATATTTAAATATATATTTGGATAGGTATATCTAAGGCTATGCCAAATGAAAGCCCCAGATTTCAGTTTTTCAGGTCAGATGTTTTACTGGCCCAACCCAGATTCCCTGCAGAAATCAATTCCTTTAATCTTGCTGCATCTGTGGGAATTTCTCCCCCTGCAGTCCTTCAGTGACTGAGCTGACATTTAGAGATTGAATGTTTTGCAAGTTCTCAGTTCCAATTTCTCAACCCACCAAAGGCACACTTGTCACCAAGTGGGCACTGAAAGCAGATCCCCCAAGTAGAAGCAGCAGCGGCTCAAGCATCCATTTTTCTGCCTTTTTATGCCCTCTTCAGTTCAGGCAGCAAGGGGATTCATTTTATGTGACTTTGAAGGGTTGTTAAAATGTTTGACTTATCTAATTCCAAAGAATGTATTGCAATAATCACAACTGCTGAAGATTTCTGTTACGTAGAATGGAGACTCTAGTTTTGAAACTTGGTGACAATGCAAGATGAGTGACCTTGCCTTTCCTTCCTCTGAGAAGAAACAAAACACTGCCCATTTATTAGCCATACTCCTGAAAGAATTACCATCTTTGCCTTGTACTTGCATTAAGCCACAGAAGCTAGTTCTGTTTACATACCTGTCTTTACTTCACTTTCACCAGTGACTACACCATAGAAAGGATTTATTATCCTGTATTGTTAACAGTAATTTTCACTTTGGAAAGCAAACACAGTGTTCTGACAGTGGTGTATGAGGTGGGCCTTAAAGTGCTATTTGTTACAGAACACCACTTGTTAAAATGGCACTTGCCATATTAGAATTCGTCCTGGAAGTCACTGATGTTCTCTCCCCATGAGCCACTCCTCAACGACCTGATAATAAAATAAGGCAGCACACTTTAGCTTAAATAGGAAGTATCTGAAGAATGTATTGTGTCACTGTGATATTTTCTTACACATCTTATTACATTTAAATATAATAAGCATAATATTTACCACTGATAACTGTGTAGTTTTAGAATCTTCAAAGTTTGGCCTTTCATGTAGATTGCTAAGTTCCAAGGAATTTTTGATGTCATGAGATAATTTCTCCTCAATAGAATGTTTTTCTAAGTTTATACTTGGCAAAGCATCCTTGCTCTCAAGTAATATGCAGGAATCATTAGACATTTGATTACTTTCCATATCTATATTTTTTTCTTTTAAGTTTCTTTCAGAAAAGCAGGCTTCCCCTACTTTTTCAATGTCAGGAGAAGAAACACCAGGATCCACAGTGTTGTCAAAATCTCTATTTGAAGTTCCTACTGCCGAAAACACACATTTACAAAGGGTACACACAAAAAAGTAAACACACAGTTAATAAATCAAAAGTTCTATAGTAAAAACCTTTGTCAATAAATACAATTTTATAAAAAATCCCTTTATTGATGTTTCAGTGTTAAAATGAGTTTGTAATGACAGAATCATAAATGGTCATTAAAATTTACTTACACAGCAAGATATTAATGAACTTGACTAGTGACAGGAGGTAAGATTTCATCTGCAAAATAAAGTCTTGAAATTGTATGATGCAAATTTTTATTTCGACTGTGGTTCAATCCTCACTTCCCCACTTCTTCCGCTCAAATTTTACCAGAGCTCATGTAAAGTAAAGTAGAGGGAACATTCCTTTTGCATTCTGCCTCTTTTCCCCAGCATGCCTCGTGGCCAAGCAGGTCTCAGGGAACCCTGCCTGAGGAAGGAGCACCAGCAGCAGGGGCGCCGGAGTGTGGCAGGGACACCTGCCTCTAGAAAGCTACCACATGAGCAAGACTTTGAGTCACCCACCTCATTACGTGTGCTGTAAGTAAATCAGGTGACTCAGATCATGGCTCTTCAACCTGGCTGCACAACGGAATCACCTGAAGGCCTTCTTTAAAACTGTCCGTGTATGGGCCTGATCCCAAACCAATTAAATCAGACACAAGAGTGGGACTCAGACACTGGTTTTTAAAATTTTCCTTCACTAAGTTCTCCAGGTGATGATGGTGCACAGTCAGGGTAGTGAAACACTGGTTTAGATTTTCTGAAGAATAACAATTATTTATTTAGGAATGTTTGTACCATACTGCTTTTATTTTAAATAAGTATATACCATTAGCCAGGTTGAATACAGCTCCTCTGATCATGTCTCATTCCCTTTCCAAAGCAAGTATCTCTGAATAGACTGTAAAATGCAGATACTTTAGCAAAAATGGTCTCCGGTAATAATAAATTCTTCTTTACAGCCCAAAGGACTGGCTGTAAAGAAGAATTTATATTACATATTTGTATGTAAAATGTTTATATAACTTGACAATTACACATAGTACATAGAATTTCCACTTCCAACCGCTCACTTCTTAAATAGCACAAATATTGTGAGAAATAAAATAACTTTGTTAGACAAATACTTTTAGAAGAAAAACTTTATAAAGGCAATTCAATATAATGCTACACTTCCTTCTTAAACCTGAGTAGAAGTTATCTGATTTTTTGGAAGAAAAAGATACCATTTCCATATTTAAAATGTCTACAACTACCTTCCACAATATTTCTGCAAGACCATATAATTCCACTACTAGAATCCATTGCTGCTTAAAAAGTGACAAAACCAACTTTTAATAATGTCCAAAATGCAACACAGAATGTACAGGTATGATTTAATTTAATTATGATTTAATTTAGTCTCTATATTGAAAGCCCTGCAAGGTCATAAAAATTCTGTCCTAGTTCAACATTCAAAAATCAATTGATCTGATCCATCACATAGACAGACTAAAGAAGAAAAATCACAACTATATCAAGAGATGCAGAAAAAATATTTAGCAGAATTCAGTGCTAATAACAGATAAAAACTCTCAACCACTAAAAAAAGAAAGGAACTTCTTAGACTTAATTTTTTTTTTAATCTGCCAAAAACCCTACGGCTATCATTAGACTCAATGGTGAGAAACTACGGGCTTTTCTGCTGAGATCAGGAACAAGGCAAGGATGTCCCCTCTCATCATTCCTTTCAACATCATAATGAAAGTCCTAGCTAATACAACAATACAAGAAAAAATATATACAGAATGAGAAGGAAGAAATAAATCTGTCTTTGTTCACAGATGTTGTGGCATGATTGTTTATGCAGAAATTCCAAAAGAAATACCAGAAAAAAAGACCTGGAATTAGTGGACAATTATAGCATGGCTGTAGGACACAAGGTTAACATACAATAATAAGTGAATTTGAAACTTAAAACACAAGACCATTTACATGAGCACCCAAAAGCGCAATGCTTAGGTATAACTCTAACAGACTATGCACAAGGTCTATATGAGAAAAACTATAAAATTCTGATGAAAGAAATAAAAGGGAGGGAGAAATAGCTCATGTTCATGGATGGAAAGATTTAACATTGTCAATATATTGATTCTTCCCAACTTTATTTGTATATTCACTGCAATCCCAAACAAAATCCCAACTTATATTGTGGATATTGGTAAACTGGTTCTAAAGTTTATATAGAGAAGCCAGTTACTCAGAACAGGCAATAAAATATTGAAAAAGAAGAACAAAGTCAGAAGACTGACACTACGCTACCTTAAGAATTACTATAAATTTACAATAATCAAATTATTGTGTGTGGAAATGGAAAAAATATAGACACATCAATGGAACAGAAAAGAGAGCCCAGAGAAAACCTATATAAATATAGTCATCTGATCTTTGACAAAAGAGCAAAGGAGAAAAGGTAGTCTTTTCAATAAATGGTGGTTGAATAATTGAACATCCACATGTAAAAAAAAAATCTAGACACAGACCTTACACCTTCACAAAAATTACCTCAAAATAGATCACAGACATAAGAGTGAAATGCAAAATTATAAAATTCCCAAAAGAGAAACTATGGGGAGGGGATGAGATTAACAGTAGTAAATATCTATCTGGGGAAGGGGAAACACCTCTTATCAACATGGTGCCTGAATGAAATGTAATTGTACACCTAACCCTTAACTGTACCCCAAAAAACCATAATAAAAAATACTGATTAAAAAAAAAATTCCCAAAAGATAACATAGAATAAAACCTAGATGACCTCAAGTATGGCCATGACTTTTTAGATAAAATATCAAATAAAAAATTGATAAGCTGAACTTCATTAAAATAAAAACTAATCTGTAAAAAAAAAATACAAAACAAAACAAACAAAAAATTCTGTCAAGAGAATAAGACAATCCTAGCCAGGTGTTGTAGTGCATGCCTGTAGTTCCAGCTATTTGTAAGGCTGAGGCAGAAGAATTGCTGGAGCCCAGCAGGTTGATGCTGGGGTGGCCATGAGTGTGCCATTGCACTCCAGCCTGGGTGACAGAGTGAGACTCCAACTCAAAAAAAAAAAAAGAAAGAAAGAAAGAAAGAATAAGACAATCCATAAACTGAAAGAAAATATTTGGAAAAGATATATCTGATAAAAGAGTGTTAATCCAAAATAAGCACAGGACACTTAAAATTCACCAATAACTAAGAAACAGCCCCCCAAAAAACAGGTTAAAAATATCAGATGACCAGATACCTTAACAAAGAAGATATACAGGTGGCAAATAAGCATAGCAAAAGATGCTCAACATTATATGTCATTAGGGAATCGTAAATTGAAACAACAAAGAGATATCACTACATAATTATTAGAATGGCAACAGTTTGAAACACTGACGACACAAAATACTGGTGAAGATGTGAGGCAACAGGAACTCATATTTATTGCTGATGAGAATGTAAAATGGTTCTTTGCAGCCGGGCTCGGTGGCTCAGCCTGTAATCCCACACCTTTGGGAGGCTGACGTGAGTGGACTGCCTGAGCCTGCGGGTTCGAGACCCGCCTGGGCAGCGAGACCTCATCTCTACAATAAATCAAAAAATCAGCCGGACGTGGTAGTGCATGCCTGTAATTCCGGTTACTTGGAAGGCTGAGGCGGAAGGATCACCGGAGCCCAGCAGGTCGAGGTTGCGGTGGCCGGGAGCGGCCACTACACTCCAGTCTGGGTGACAGAGTGAGACTCTAACTCAAAAAAAAAAAAAAAAAATGGTTCTTTGCTAGACAGTTTGGCAATTTCTTACAACACTAATTATACTCTAGCTATATGGTCCATTGTGCTCCTTCATATTTATCCTAATGAGTTGGAAATTCGTGCCCAAACAAAAAACCACACGAACGTGTTTATGGCACTGTTACACATACTTGCCAGAGCTTGGAGACAACCAAAGTGTCCTTCAGTAAGTAGGTGAATAAACTGCTGTACGTTTATACAATGGGATGTTATTCATTACTAAAGGAAGTAAACTACTGAGCCATGAAAAGATGTGGAGAAACCTTAAATGCACATTACTAAGTGAAAGGAGTCGATTGTAAAAGCCTACATGCTGTATGTATGATTCTAATTATGTGACATTCCAGAAAAAAGCAAAACCATGGAGATGGCAAAAACGTTAGTAGTCATCAGAGAGACAGGTGTAGCACAGAGACTCTTTAGGACAGAGAAACTGCTCTGTATGATACTATAAGTGGTATCATTTTAACATTTGTCAAAACCCACAGAATATACAACATCAAGAGTTAATTCCACGTCAACTATGAACTTTGGGTTATAATGATTTGTCAGTGCAGACTCATAGATTGTAACAGACGTGCCAGTCTGATGTGGGGTGTTGATAATGGAGTAGCTATGCATGGTAGGTGGCAAAGGGTCCTTAGGAACTTTCTGTGATTTTTGCTCCATTTTGTTGTGATCCTAAAACTGCTCTAAAAAATAAATATTTCAAAACTGTCTTTTAAATAACACTTATATGGACATTAGTGTCAACCATTTTTTCAAAGACAACAGGAATACCATGCTCTATCTTAGTCAGACAACACCCATCTTCTGGAAAAGATGTGGAGTACTGTCAAGTCCTAAGTTCTCATGTGGGTATTGTTTATACCTTGTCATGATAATTTAATGTCTTAGTATTTAAGAATGTCAAGACCAGCAAGATCCATTACCGTTTCTATCTTCTGCTGCCCAGTCAACTATTTATTTTAAATGTTCCCTCTATTGTCAAATTCCTCACATAAGATGTATTTTTTGACTTTTCTTAAAATTCTAGGTAAATCAAATGTAATACTTTTTTAAAAACTTGAAAATTATCTAGTTCCTACATTTTTGCTTAGGAAAATGAGATCTAAAAAAGGAAGTGGCATGTTCAAGGTCACACAGTGATTTAAAGGCAGAAATGGAAACAAAATCCGACTCCCAGGCCAGGATACCTTGTTATGACTCTAAATGAGGATCTCACAGTCCAGAAATTGAAATAAGATATATGCCCAGAGCAGCCTAATCTATCAATCCCAAGGGAACTACTAGTAGCAACAAGATGATTTTTTTTTTAAGGTTTTACCTCTTGCATGAAACTTTATATCAAATTTGAAGATTTTTGGAAAATACTTAGTGAAAGTGAGGGTAGCAAGGTGCCCTCAGACTTTGTTCCCTAAAAGGCATCCACATAATCTTTGAAATGCTAGCTCAGTACACAATAACTTTTAGAATGCCTTATGTTGGCTTATTTTTCCTACAAACACTGTTGTTCGTTGACTTCCATTGACTAAAAAGTGTATTTACTAGTTAATTATATTTTCAACAATTTTTCTTCTGAATACCACATTTTTTTATTTTAAAAATGAACTACATAACCAACTTCTTATAGACTGCAATGTCTATTGTTTTATTAAATTACTCACATGCACAGTAAGTAATACGAAGCAACAAGAAAAAAATACCTTTTGTATTACCTTTATCATATGGAGAGCTGTTTCTCAGACAAAGACTTCTTCCCTTGTTGAAAACATGATGTTGAGGGATGTCATTTTTATGTGGAAAGCTATCCTTCTGATAATCATGAAATGAGCAACTTTCATGTGTAGGAACAAGCAAAAGAATAGAGCTGGAAGAAAATGATATTTTAAAAAAGAAGACAAAAAGCTCCCAGTTTACAAAAACATACAGAATACAACCTAATGGAACAGGCTTATTTATGTTAATTTACTATTTACTTTAACTGTGCTGTGAACACATTCTAAACAATAAGGAACTAAAAGCAATAGGCGACTGGACCAAATACAACTTAATTGTAAATTTCAGTTGAAGGTTTCCTTTTTAAACACCTTGAAATAAGTTTGATTTCTTTTCTTTATTTTTGAGTTGGAGTCTCACTCTGTCGCCCTACATTCTTTCTTCTAATAATGTAGTGTTATCTTTCAGACTCATCAAAATCTGACAAAACATCAAGGTTTTTCTACTATACAAGCATATTATCTATTCATCAATGAGCTACTAGAGCTAAAAAGCTACTGTATTGGTAATTCAGTCTCCATTATTAATGGTTGCTGTCTATAAGCAGCTACCACTTAAAGCACTTTATTGATTGAATAACATATTTAATAGTGCCTGATATCTATGTAAGCCCTACAGAACAACATCATAAAACTCAAGGATTACACGTAACTGAAAGGTCCTCCTTGTGTCACTCATAGTCCCAAGGAGACAGAAAAGGCGAGTGTCAGTCTGTGGGCACCTGCAAACCAGTCCTATAAAACTAATGCCAAACTATGATCAGTAATGATCCCCTCCTCCAACACCGTATATAGGAATCAAAGCAAAGACGTGTAATAAGGTATATGAAAAAATCAAATTAGAGAACACAAATGCCATTCATTTCCTTGGAGAGGCAGTAGTGAAAATAAACCTCTTGGCCAGGCACAATGACTCACACCTGTAATCCCAGCACCTGGGGAGGCTGACGTGAGAGGACTGCATGGGCAACTTGGTGAGACCTCATCTCCAAAAGAAATTTTAAAAAAATAAGCCGGGCATGGTAGCATGCGCCTATAGTTCCAGCTACTTGGAAGACTGAGATGGAAGGATCCCCTGAGCCCAGCAGGTTGAGGCTGCAGTGACTGCAAGTGGGCCACTGCACTCCAGCCTGGGCAACAAAGTGAGACCCCAAGAGAAAAGATACCTCTTATCTGCTGAACAGTAAGTTGCCTCCTGCCAGAACCCTGCTTCCAAAAGCACTTTTGCTGCTAGATACCTGTTTTTTTGTGTCTAAACATGGGGCTTTTTCTCTCCAAGGGCATTGCTCAGGCCCATCGCTGTTGAGAAAGGCTGGCAGGGGCCGAAGTGGATCTGAATAAAGAATGCTGTGGGAGCTGCTTATGAGGAACTTCATTACACCTTTCAACCAAGTTAGCACTTTGTGGTTAATACACCTAAAATCCAAAAGTTTCTATTGCAGAGAGGACTTGTGTAATTCTAAACATTACTAACAGATGCAGTTAGATATTGTTTTTCAGTTGGAAGTGACAAAATCCTACAAAACAATGACAACATGAACCATTACACGTCATTTGTTTAATTTATACACATTAAATCTACCCAGGAAGTAGTCTGTAATACAGGAGTTCTTTGCATCTCCCAACCTGGTCATTTATAAAACTTTTTAAAAATGTACGGCTCATAGCAAACGAAAGAAAATCCATAGTATCTTTGGAGAAAAGAAGAAAGGTCGTAGGAAACACATCTGACTTGGGCAACCATTTCAAATAGCAACGATTTCTGATTCAGAAGAATCTACTGAATACTCCAACTAAGTAAGAGCACAAACATATCACTATGGACAGTTTTCTAATTACTGAATGGTGTTCAATACTAGCAGTATTGTACAAAAATTTAAACATGGCTTAAGTAAAATATACTCGAACATTAAGGTCTCATGTTTTTCACACCATGAACTTCTCATCTGGAAAGACAGCTGACGGTGGATGTGGGGTTTAATAAGCACAACGTGAGTCAGAAGGATCTTACCTTTGTTCACTGTCTGCATCAGCTAATTCAACTTTGTAAGGCACAGCACTGCCTGGATCTTCAAATTCCTCTTCACACGTCTTATTAAACGTATGTTATATAATATTAGTATGTTCATTAAATGCATGATACTAACCAATGAATTTACAAGTTACAGAGTACTTTTTTCTACAAATGATGCCATGAGAAGGCTAATTGTATTTTATAACACATGAGTTCTAGGAGACATAGTTTCAACTAGTATTTGTTGAGGGCATTTGCTGTGTCGGTCACTTGGCCAGGATCACACCCAAAAGCAACAGTAACAACTTATGTCTAACTATGTAACTACCGCCAAGTAGATGAGTGACTAAAAGGTTTTTACTTCTCTGACTGGAACATCATCAGTTTAATCTATGCAGCAGTTTAATGGATGGCAGGCGCATGTGTGTCTGAGTATTTGCTCAGTATCTCAAATTCATCCAGAAGAGAAACAAAAATGTTAGTAGGAAAACAAAGCAGAAGCTATCAACCTATCCACCTAAGCAACAAAAGAATGAAGCAGTACTTAAAGAGGTACCTTCCACTCTCATCATTTTCTGTAACAACCACAGTAAGAGAAGTATCTAGAACAAAGGGTACATTCCACCACTAGATGACGAGAGAGTCAGAAATGCCCTGAGTTCATCATACCCTACACCTTCAATCTGAAGCTCTGGCTCTGACAGACTCCAGCTGATGCCGCTGGTGTCTTCTAGAGGTTCATGTCATTATACGAAACCCCTTAAATCTTAAATACTATTTATGCTCTTTAAACAGAAAGTAATATTGAATGACACTTAAGAAATTAAATTTGCACTTAAGGTTCATGTAATGAGCCTGATATTTGCTTGAAAAAAGAACCTTATAGCATCATAAGTAAACTAATAGAACCTCAAATTATATTTCTATAAGTTAAAATAATGAAATGTCTTCTCACCTCCCATACTGCATTCTTTTTACAAAACAACAATACCAATTCAGCTCACAAACTTATTCGTTACATTTAAAATAGTACTCTACTTTATTCTTATCAGCATACTTAAATTCAAACCTTGTAACTTTCCTATTAAGCTATGTGGAGTTATGTAAGGAATCCTGTTGGAAATAGCATGTGGACCTAACAATGTCCTCTCTGCTAAGGAACGTGAACGTGCACTTACTTCATCCAGCTCCACTATCTTTAGAGACGGTTCAGGCCTTTCTATGTTTAATTCTTCTACCAACAGAAAGAGAGCTGGATGTTGTACTTTGGTCTCCTTAACTAGGAAATAAGATTCAAAAATAATATCATCAAAGAATGGATCTCACTTAATAATATCCTTTCTTTAAATAATATAACCACCACCAACAACAACAAAAGAATGGTGTTCTCCTGTGCATCCACACAAAGATATCAATACTGTCACTTTTCCCAGTTCATGTGAGATGCACATTTTCTTAGCGATCAATTTTTAAATAAAATCATTTGGAGTGAGGAAAAGCAAGTCTAGCAACCCAGAAGAAGCGAGTCACATGATTGTGATCTGGGGATAAAAGACTACAGGGTGCAATTGCAAATACTACATTAAAGAAGACCAAAAGCAGGTGCTGGTTCATGCTTTGCATCTGCCACTTGAAATAAGTAAACCTTAAACATCTAACCAAGTCTGAACTAACCATCACTATCACCATCATTTTCCTTTGGAGAATACTGTGCCTCACGCGTGGTTTCACATGGATGTGTGGATGCACCTGGAGGCGAGTTAAGAAGTTGCTTTTGTGAAGTTCTACAAAACAAGAGAGAAGCCATTAAAAGACTAAATACGTTATCTGAAACTTTTCCGGACAAGATCTTGACTTATTTATCAGATGAGTGAGTACAAAATTAATGATGAAACCATAACTGTACCTTTAAATCAAAGAAGTAGAGTTGTATAACAAAATCTTACTGTACCAAAGAAAAAACTTTGTAAATCAACTTGACATCACAAAAGATTTTTACATTGCATCTCCTACTGAGTTTTAAGATGCAAATCAAAATTCTGATAGAGGTCAATGTTCTCTCATAAGCCACATGGAGTCCATGAACATAGCATGGTACTTAAGGAGCTAATTTATGAGTGTGAGTTTTCTCTCATGGTCTCAGCATTATGTTGATGGGTTCTAAGGGAACCTGAGAGACAACTCCTTTGTCTAAGTTTCCATCGTATCACCAGGGTGGACAAAACAGGTTCCCGTGATATCTATGAAATGTGTTCTGGTGTGGCATCCAGGACTTATCAACAATGAGGGCAGATACCACCCATTTCATGTAGAAGGCCATGGGCCAGGAATTCTCAGAGGTTGAGAGTCTATATTGGTTCGAGAGGATACTCCCAGATTACTGGGTAGAGGGGCCACTTTTTATCCAAAAACATAAGTAGTTTCCCAGGCCTTCCAGATCATATAAGTTCGTGGGGTCCCCAAGTAAAAGGCCTTCTTAATGACATTTGTAGTTAACATTGATACAAAATTTAAAATGTACTAGGCTCTGTTCTAACTAATTTTGGTATATTTAATTTTAATAGGTATTAAATAGACACTAGTATTAATTTAGTTTCACAGAGGATGACATTGAGACACAAAGTGGTAAACCAACTTAGTCATTCAGGTAATGAACACAGAAAAGGAGCTTGAATTCAAGCAGTCTACATCCTCAAGCCTACATTCATAACCATGTTCTTATTTCATATGGCCTCTTCTATATCTTACAAAGGCACTAAAAATTTGGTAATCTTCTGGTAGTCTATGGTCATGTGTGTTTTCCTAGTATATCTATAAGATGAATGTAGAATTTGTATGTATTATTTAGCTTTATGTGAGCTTGACATCTTACATACAAAATTTAATTAAAGGATAGATTAAAATATTAAGAGCATATGGTCAAAGACAAACTGGAATCAGGCCATGAGAAACCTCTTCAGCCTGACATGATATCTACTGAACTGAATATCATCGAACACACACACACACGTAAATATACCGTTATTCAAATACTCCTTCTTTATTAAGTGAAAACTTCTCTAGGTTTATGAGTGAAGGTCCTGAACCAGAGACTTATAGAATCTAGATACTGAAGTACAGGAGCTTGTGAGGCCCTATAGATGGTTTGTTCTAAATAGAATATTTTGCAAATGAGAAAACTTAGGCCAAGAGAACTGCCGTGATTTTTCCACCAACAAAAAAGATTATCAGTTAACTAAGTCTAGATTCTAGATGTTTAAACCCCGATACTGATGCTTATTTTGAAAGATCATGCCACATAAATAAAGGATGTAGTGTCTTTTAGAGTAGTATTTATCTCATCCTATTTTCCTCTTTCAACATTTAACAAACATTTATTGAGCACCGACTGATTCTGTCATGTGATGAGGGGTGTTAAATCTGCTCTGTGAATCACTGTGAGGCTATTTGCATCAGAATGGCAAGGGAATTTTTTTGTTTTTTTTGTTTGTTTTTAATCAATATTTTTTATTATGATATTGTGGGGTACAGTTAAGGGTTAGGTATACAAATATGGTTCATTCAGGCACCCTTGTTGATAAGAGGTGTCTCCCTGTCCCCAGACAGATATTTACTACCGTTAATCCCATCTCCCTTACCCTCCCTCCCCATAGTTTCCCACCACTGTCAGTCATTTTCTTATAGTATTACATTGGATGTTCAAGGTCCATTATATGAGTGAGAACATGTGATACTCAGATTTTTGTTTCTGTGAGAGGTCAAGGGAATGTTTTTTAAATGCTGAGGCTCATACCCAGTCTTAAGTAGACACATTTTTAGGTAGGCCTGGGGCATGAGAATCAGAAGCGCAAAAACCGGCCGCAGGTGCTTCTGATGATCAGCTACAATTGGGAATCACACGCAATGAAGAGTGGGGAATCGAAGTTGGAGTATCAGCTAACTTCTACCATCTGCCCTTGAAATGCCCTCAGCCCAAGTCTCCTGCACTCTCTTGTGAAGCATACCCAGATCTGGAAGATCCACCAGAGGCATTGCTCTTAAGATCTATCAACAATTAGGCAGGTGTGGTAGTGCACGCCTGTAGTTCCAGCTACTTGGAAGGCTGAGACAGAAGGATCACTGGAGCCCAGCAGGTCGACGCTGGGGTGGCCATGAATGTGCCACTGCACTCTAGCCTTGGCAACGGAGTGAGACTCCAACTCAAAAAAAAATCTATCAATACTTTCATGTTGTTGTGAATGGCAGGACTTCCTTCTTTTTTAAGAATGGAATAATATTCCATTGCATATATATGTAATATGTGTATTACATATATATGTATCATATATAATACTTTTAATCTATGCATTCATTGATTAATATTTAGGGAATTTCCAATACTTGGAGAACCTTATGTGAAGTGAAATAAGCCAGACACAAAAAGACAAATGCACGATCTCACTGTTATGTGAAAGCTAAAAAAGTCAGACTCAAAAGCAGAGAGTAGAATAGCGATTTCGAGGGGCTGGAGACTGGGGAAATGATAAAATGTTGGACAAAGGGTACAAAGTTACAGTTATGCAAGACAAGTAAGTCCTGGAGATCTAATACACAGAATAACTACAACTAATAATAGATCTTAAGTGTTCTCACCACACACACACATACACAAATATTATGTGAGGTGATGACTGTTAATTAGTTTGACTGTGGTAGTCACTGTATGATGTATATACATATATATATATCAACATCCTATTATATACCTTCAATATAGACAATGTTTACTTGTCAATTGTACCTCAATAAAGTTGGGGAGAAAAATTTATCAACACACGAGTTGGTTGTAGGTGACAGTGACAGGAAACTATGGGAGAGGAAGGGAAGTGGGATTGACAGTAGTCGATATCTGTCTGGGGACGGGGGGGCACACCTCATCAACAAGGGTACCTGCACAATGCATATTTGTATACCTAACCCTTAATTGTACCCCACAATTTTAAAATAAAAAGTATGTTTAAAAAAATAAAATAATAAAATAAAATACTATCCAAATCAGAAACATACAAAAAATACAATACTACTTATATTTATAAGCCTGCCATAAAACACAATAGGCAAAAGTAAAGTCAAAATCACATGGGAAATTTTTCTGAAGCAACTCATCAGAAACCCATCAGAAACTTGTGAATTGCAGATGGATTGCCCTACACTGACATCTATAATTCAGACATAAAGTATTAACTCAAAAAATGATTACCATTAAAAAAATAACCATGTAAGACCTAGTGATCATGGACATATAGTGATCATGGAATTATCTGCTAAGGAAATTGGTCAACATTTAGCATTCATCTTAGCTCAGGACTTGATGTAGCTGTAGTAAAAGCTTCTTATATGTGCCCAAGCTAAAATGACAGCGGTCATTTAGTCACAAAATTATGCCTCTCTTGTTTATGAGAAACCCAACATGATCCAACATAGAACATGACCGCCAAAAAGACTTCGGCATGATTTTCATGTACAATTGCTAATTTAGAAAAAGGCAATTGACAGGTACACCTGAAGTTTTGCACCTGAAGAGCTGTCATGAGCATTATACCTTAAAAAAACATCAACATCCTGTACATTAGTTATGAATGAATCAACTTACAGTTTGGCCAAATGAACCACCACGATGAGATACATCTACACACCTATTAAAATGGCAAGCAAAAGAAAATGAAAAAGCCAAGTCTGGCAAGGATTGGGAGCAACTGGAACGCTCCTTCGTCACTGGAGAGAATGCAAAACGGTACAGAAAAATTTTAGGAAAACACTTTAGGAAACAGTTTGGCAGTTTCTTATGGAGATAAACATGCATTTGCCATATAGCCCAACTATACCAGGCCCAAGTATTTACCCAGATAATTAAAAACCTATATTCAAACAAAAGCTGAATACAGATATTTATTTTAAAAATTCAGTCATCATTGCTCCAAACTGGAAAGCAGCAGGAATGACTGTTGACTCACACAAGAACATGGCTGATTCTTAAATGCATTTTGCAAAATGAAGGACTCAGACTACACGTTGTATGATTTCCTTTATGTGACCTCTGGAAGAAGGCAAATGTGTAAGGATGGAAACTAGAGGAGTGGCTGTTATGGGTTGAGGAAGGGAGGAGGAGAAATGGGAAATACAAGGAAATGTCTGTGGTTTTGCCTGGTGGGCTGTGGTGGACACCAACTCCATGTGTCGGTAAAAGTCCATTGAATTGTATACTGTAAGTTGACTATTCAAACTGTAAAAATCAATCAGGATAGGGGCAGAATCCAAGGAGCGGGGCAGCCACCCTACAGGAGGTGGGAGAGAGTTGGGCACTACAGCCAGGTCACATTGGGAAATGGGGTTTTGACTGTTTATTGTAGGCTAAAGAGGAAAGCACTGCGCACACACTGTGCTCTCAGTGGAACGTTCTTCCAGCATTTTGCTCCTCCACATGAGACCAGAGACCAGCCTCATCCATACCAGCATTACCTGGAAACTATCAGAAATTCAGGAATGCAGAACCTCATGCCTCACTTCAGACCTACTAAAAGAGAATCTGTATTTTGCCACGATCTCTAGGTGACTGGATCTGATGATGGAGTCTTTGAATATAGCATATTTAATTACTGTGAATAAAATTATAATATTAAAGGCCTAATTAAAAGTAGATTTTTTAAATTGTGGCCTCAAATGTTGATGCGAATGTAAAAATCTGACAGCAATATCTTTTCAAAGTAATCTTTCCTTGATCACATTATTTGTGTTGTTATTCTTCAATTCTGGTGTTGGTGCCTCTTCCCCACACACACATTTCCATTTCCCAAGGCAGACTCTAAATTAATGATGCATCACATACATAAATAGAATTAAAATTCTTACTAGAACAGAAGCTTCACAGGGATCTAATACTGCTTTAAAATTACTTAAGCAAATAGGAAACATACATATAAAATTGCTACAGAAAGGTAGACCACACATGAAAAAAACATAAATAACTTTTATCTTTCCTAGTAATAGTATTAAAAATTCAGAGAATACCTCCTGTGTTTTTTAAGCCACAATTTTTCCATATAGGATAGACTGTCTTCTTTAAACTCAATATTAAGTGGTTCTCTCCAGATTTTCAGGTAAGTCTGAACTTCACATTCTTCCAATGAGTCTGTAAAGGTAAACAAAATATGCATCATTAATATAACCAAATATATACATTGCCACATCGTCTCTCAGAGAGAGTCCTGCACTATTTCCTGGGGGAGGGAATGTTGACATCATGAGGTTTCTGTGAAAACCCAAGAGACAGGGTTCAGGGAGCTTTCAAACAGTGGAACACTGTAGTGTGGTGCCCAGGACGGGCAGGGAAGCTCCCCATACCTCACCCCACACATCTCTCTTCATCGGTATCCTCTGCAATATCCTTCATAGCAAACTAATAAACATAAGCAAGTGTTTCCCTAAGTTCTTGGAGCTGGTATCACAAATCAGTAAAATGTAAAAGGGGGTCATGGGTGTCCCAACCCAACGTCGGTCAGTCAGGCGTTCTGGAGTCCTGGACTTGTGACCGGTGTCCAGAGGGAGGCAGCCTTGTGGATCCGAGCCCCCAGTCTGTGAGATCTGACACTGACTCCAGGTCACAGTGATGAAATTGAACTGGAGAACACCCAGCTGGTGTCCTCCACTGGTGTTGAAGGGAAAGCCCAAGTTTGTTCACAGAAGTCTTCTGTGTTAGTGATTGTTGTTTTGTGGGAGCAGAGGAAAAATACCAGCTGGAGGGATGTTTCCTAAAATAACTTTATCAGTTTTCTTCAGCAACCCCTTGAAATAAAATAATCTTACAATTCACAAGCAACTAATTTTTAAATGAAAATGATAAATACAAACAGATCCATTGTGCATTCCATAAACATAAATGTATGTAAAGGCATCACACACAAACATAAAATATTGTAGCCACAACAATAGCATTTACACAATATGAGAAACAGAAAATAATTCAGAAGGACACCTGGAGGAGAAAGGAATTTACATCTATGTGGCAATTTACCTGCAGATGCTTAAGATATTTTTGGAGCACTACTAAATTAAAAGCACTGCTCAGAGATAAATAGTGAAGATATCTGAGGAAAAAGTGTAAAATTCGGGATGGCCAGTACCCTGCCCTCTCAGATATCATCCCTCCCTCCAAACTGAATATTGTAGGGGGAAAAAATATACAAAAAGAAAGGGAAGTAGTCAAGATGGAAAAAGGCATTTTTATAAACTCTGAAACTAGACATTGTCCCAGCCTCATACTGTTGACTTTTATGAGTTGCCTCCAGAAAAGCCATCTAAAGTAACGGCTGTGAAAGAGGCCGTGTGAGCAGCGCTGACAGCACATGTAGAGAATGCAAACCTGCAAAACCGTATGTGGCACACCCAGGAGAGGAAGGGAATACCTCAACCTCTCTCTCCTCACCCTCCAAGTCTTATCAGTGTCTCCAGTTAGGCAAAGTCTACCAGAAGCCAGAGAGTGAGTCTCTAGAGGTCGACCTCTGGGGACACAGAGTAGGGTGGGACTGGCAGAGAAGGGATCTGGAGGACAAACAGAATGACCAACCTAATTTACATATTTTCCATCTAAGCCTCCATTTCCTCCCCCCCACACATTTTTTTAGTCTTATGCATGAAACATAAAGATAACACCAAGTTCTACAGTGTATGATAGGGAGGTTTCAACTGTTGATGCTCCAAACTGAACCCTAAACTAAAATTTTCGGCATCACTAAAACTCTCCACATGAGGTAGCGGGGAAAAGCAGGAGGGAAAAAAAACCAATTACCCAACATAAAACAGTGCTGCTAGGGTCTCCACTTTTGCAGCTGGTTTTAAAGTCAAGTTGATGTGATTATCATAGCTTCCTTTCTCCATCACTTATCCCAAGTCCAACTTCATCTCGGTTGGCACCTTGGCAGGTTATTGTGTTTTGTTTTCTTTTTGTTATTAAACTGGTGAGGTGACCTAAATCTTCATTCCCAAAAAATGCAAGACCACAGAAGCCCTCTATTCCATGGATTGCCAGTTTCCTTTCAAGTATTATTATTGGATATAGAAAGACTATTGCATGTCCCAGTGACTCTCTGGGTTCCAGACACAGGCTGTCTTTTCTTGACTGCACAGCATGATCCACTGTTCTTTCATAATTGTGCTCAGTCAAGACAGCATGTATAGTGATCCTTCCTGACTGGGTTCAGGGATCATAAGACCTAAAAGACCCTGGACCAGGCACAGTGGCTTACGCCTGCAATTCCAATGCTTTGGGAGACCAAGGTGGGAGGACTGCTTGAGCCCAGGAGTTCAAGACCAGTCTTGAGGGCAGCTTGAGATCAGCCTGGGCAACACATAGAGACACAGTGTCTTTAAAAATAAAATAAAACAAATAGCCAGTGTGATTGCGTGCACCTGTAGTTTCAGCTACTTGGTGAAGCCTAAGGTGGGAGGATTGCTTGAGTTCAGGAGTTTGAGGCTAAAGTGAACTATGATTGTACCACTCCAGTCTGGGTCACAGAAAAAGTCCCTGTTTCGAAAAAGACTGGGAAGTAGTCTCAGCTTCCAACTTACCAGAAACATGACTGGGGTTTCACAGAATATACAGCACCCTGGGAAAGAGTAACCAAACTCATGAGATACTGTCTCCACACAGAAACACACTGACCTTTCAGTGGACCAATTCATGAAACCATCAAGTCACAATTTTGAAGCTGGTGTGACTTCCTTTGAAGTCAGGCAGCTCAGTTACATTGAAGCATATCTCTCTCCAGTCATCTTCAAGACACAGAGGAATGTCACACCACCCTTTCTAAGAATTCTGGTGCTTCATGTCTTGGTGATAAGAGTGTCTTCTGCCAACAACAAGCAGGCAGAGAACCAAATAAGAAGCACAATTCCATTCACAATAGCCACAAAAAAATGAAATACCTTGGTATCTTCTAACCACAGAAGTGAAAGACCTTTACAATGAAAACTACAAAACACAGCTCAATCAAATGAAAAAAATATTCCATGCTCATGGATAGGAAGAATCAACATTGTTAATATGGCCATCCTACCCAAAGCAATCCACAGATTCAATGCAATACCCATAAAATTACCAACAGTATTCCTCTCGGACCTGGAAATGACAATATAGAAATTCATATGGAAACATAAATGACCACAAATAGCCAAAACAATCTTTAGCAAAAGAAACAAAGCAGGAGGTATCACACTTCCAGATTTTAAACTTTACTATAAGGCTACAATAATCAAAACAGCCTGGTATTGGTACAAGAACAGGTATATAGACCAGTGAAACAGGATAGAGAATACAGAAGCAAAACCTCAATTCCTCAACCAACTCATCTTCGACAAAGCCTCCACCAACAACCACTAGGGAGAGAAGAACCTATTCAGTAAAGGGTGCGGGGAAAACTGGCTGACCACTCTCAGAAGATTAAAACAGGACCCCTATCTATCACCACACATAAAAATCAACTCTAAATGGATCAAAGACCTAAACGTGAAACCTCAAACTATAAGAACCTTAGAAAATGCAGAAGACACCCTTATGGAAATTGGAACTGGCAACCAACTCCTGATCAAAACCCCAAGCACCCATGTCATAAAAGATAGGATAGACTAGTGGGAACTCATCAAACTGAAAAGCTTCTTCGAAGCAAAAGAAGCCATCAAGAGAGCAGGGAGACAGCCCACAGAATGGGAAGAAATATTTGCCAACTATATATCTGACAAAGGCCTAACATCCAGGATCTACAAGGAACTCAAATGTGCTGAGCTCGTAGCAACTTGAACGGATTTAGAGTCTGCTGTACTCAGTGATCTATCACAGAAACAAAGAACAGTACCACATGTTCTCACCCACAAGTGGACTCTGAATATTTACCATAATACTATAAGAAAGGGATTGGCAGTAGTGGGATACTGCCAGGGTGGGTGTGGGGTGTGGGGTTACAACATCAATAAGGGTACCTGATCTCAAACCAGGCAAAGTGGGGACCAAAGGAAGGCCTAAACTTTTCCTGTATGATGACCACTTGTACACCTAATCCTGAATTTGACCCCATGTCTTTAAATTTTAAAAAACTGTTTATAAACAAAAACCTAGTATGCCAGTACTATTGGATATAATTCAGGAGCTTAGGTGTATTGAGGATATGATTTGGGGGTTTTGGTTTTCAGAAGCACATAGGATCTTGACTTTGGTTCCATATAGAAGAGAGTTTTGGAAGCAAATACTGCAAATTTACCAGCCTGATGCCCAGAGGTAAACCCTACCTCATTCCCTGTTAAGAAAAGGGATGGGCTTCTAAGCCTTTGTTTTTAGTGTAAGTGGTTACTTGGCCAGTATTTAATAAATCACACTCCATATGACAAATTTTGTGAGACAATAAACACTGGTGCTTTTGGTGTTAATTTTTTTAAGTTCTGGGACAATTGAGGTAATTGAGAGAGCCAACATTAGAAAGGGTTAATGCATTCTGCCTTACCATTGCAGGTGAGACACTTTCTCATCCCTGTATAGCTGCATTAAATTCAAAGTTGCATTTCATGAGCTAGGATTTCCCTTTTTCATCTGAATAGAGAATGAACAATTTTGATGTCTTTTATGATAAATAAGATAAAAGTGTAATGAAGGGTTTTACAATGGGTTATTATTTCTGCAATCAATGCCCAAGACCTTGCAAATGCTTTTTTTTCTTTGAGTTGGAGTCTCATCTTGTCACCCAGGCGGGAGTGCAGTGGCATACTCAAGGCCACCCCAGCACTGACTTGCTGGGCTTCGGCGATCCTTCTGCCTCAGCCTTCATAGTAGCTGGAACGACAGGTGCACATGACCACACCTGGCTAATTTTTGAATTTCTCTTGTAGAGACAGGCTGGTCTCGAACCCGCAGGCTCAGGCAATCCACTCACCTTGGCCTCTCAAAGCGCTGGGATTACAGGCTGAGCCACCAAGCCCGGCCCCCACAAGTGCTTTTGTTTTCTTAGAGCAACAGTAGCAATTAGCATAATATTTAGGGACTTTGGACTAAAGGCAAAAGAACAGAAGGAAACCTTGATAGTTTGAAAGTACTATGCGTGTGTGTGTGTGTGAGAGAGTTGTTTTGAAAGAAATACATTTTTAATATTCAAAAAAAAAGAACGTCTTCTGGTTTCTCACAGAAAGAATAGTGGAAGGACGGTTGAGTAGGGTTCACACAATCCATTGCCACGTTCCTATCTCCCAGAGGTTTTCTGACACGCTACAAGTATCAGGGGAGTCCAAATGTCTCAACCTCATAAACCTCATAACATCAAGTCCAGGCGTCATTGAGCCAGTCTGGCAGCTTGTTAACGCCATTCCTGAAGTGCTTGAAACAGCACACGAAGACCCAAATCCTGTGTGAGTACATCAATATGGATAAATTCAACCTGATCTGATCTTGGTATGCTCAGCCTGGTCTAATCTTGTATTTTTTACTTCTTAATCTGTCATTCTTGAAATTCTTTCCTCTACTTGCTTTCCAGACTCGTGTGACGTAGACTGCAGGTCCCACAAGAGGCAGAGACTGCTCTGCACATCTCTTGCCCCACCCCATGGATGTACTCAGTATTTGCTGGCAGAACCATTCGGAAAGGAATGTTGTATACTGCAAAAACTCAAAACCTTGCCTGTACCCAAATATTGGAAAAAAAAATATATATATTGACAAAAATAGCCAATAGTTATTTCACAAATGACGGTGAAACCTAGTTGAAATGATAATAACATATTGTCTCCAAACTTTCTGAAGTTAAAGAACTAGAAAATGTGGGAGAAAAGTCATCTCACACACTACCAGTGAGGGTAGAACTGACACAGTAATCTTTTCAGGAGAAAAATTATTAATATTTATCAAAGATTTATATAACAAACCATCATTGAGACATGTCTATATTTAGAAATGTATTTTGGAGGTAACTGTATAAGTGCACAAATAGCTAAGATGGCTCTCATAACTTCTTTGTAATACTGGGAACTAGAAATAAAATACCCATCAATAAGAGTTTAATTGAATCATGCCATATAAAATACTATGCAATAGTTGCAAATGATGACTATATCTGCATTTAGACTCAAGTTGTCCTTGACAGACTCTCCGTAAAAATGAAAGCTAACTAATTGCAAAATTGAGTGTCGTCTCACTTTTGCTCTGGTCTGTGTGTACATGTGTGTGGGTCTACGACTGTGTTTATGAAAAAACATGGAATAAAATGTTAGCATTGGTAATTTCTGGATGATAAAATTAGACTACTTTCATTTTCTTCTTGGTAACCTTGTGTTATAACCAAATTTTTTAAATAATAATTACTTTTATCTTATAGTTATTTTCATTATGTAAAACAAATTTTAAGAATTATTTTGGATTTCTGATCTGGTGATATCTCAACTCAGTATTGGTATTATTTTATATAGCATGACTTTCAAAGTAGACAATTAAAAGGGTATTTTTATAGAGAATTGAAAAGTTTAAAAAAACCATAAAATATGAAATTACAAATATAAAGCACATAAAATAACATAGTGAGAAATGAGATACATTCTAAGGTACACACTACTAAGAAGAGCGTATACAAATAAAATCTTGAAAATATCAGTGAAATTGATGTATCATGAACAAATGTAGGAAAAATATCTGAGTATGAGAACATTTAGTAAAAAAACCAATTATAATTGGAAAGACGGTATATGATACTTTGAGACTAGAAATTACACTATGTAAGAAAAATAGTCAAGAGAATTCCTTCACTGGAAAAGAATGAAATACAAATAGTAAAACTGGCAAGTAAGATACATGATTGAAATTTATTATCTAACATTTTATATTCAATGAAAAGCCACTGGAAGACTCTACAAGATTCCGTGTAATAAAATCAATAAATTGAATACTTTAAAAACATATGATTTTCCTCAAGAGATACTAGTAAACTTAAAGCAAAGACAGTGTACACTTCAGTCATCCAGATCTTTGCCGTCTAGAATATGGAAATCATCCAAGGACAAATAAAAACAAAAAATTAAAGAAAAGCAATTAAAACACAAACCAACTCTCTCCCTGAAGTTTGCAGTGATCCTTGAAATCATACTTTTCAAAACACATATTGCAGAAAGTCTTTACGTCTTTGTCTCACAGATCCTCTTGTTGTATGTGTTGTGGTTACTACTCAAAAAAGGAATTATCTGGACAAAAATGCCCTGCTAGGAGAAGGAGCGCTGAGAGAATCCAAGCATTCATTCACTGCCAGTCTGAATTTACATAGAAAACGATGCGAATGCCCCAAAGCCAAGTTCCCATTTCTGGGGCCTATAAGTTTTAAACTACTCACCAGTGATCCAACAGTGCACAGTTCTTTGAAGATTTGATACAAACCACTGTCCCACTGATTAGAGTTTTTGAACACTGCATTTGTATTCACAGAGAATGGAGATACATACTATAACTAAGATCAGCATTATTTTATAGCACTGATGTGATAAAAATAGCCATACCTGGTTTTGCTTCACGTGAATCATGTTTCTCATTGTTCCTGTGACTTCCAGTTCCCCCCTGACTTGACCCTTCCTGAAAGGCCGGGGCAGACACCTCGGCATTGAGTGACCCTTCACACAAGAGTCTGTCTCTTGGTTTTGCACATTCTGCTCTTTTTGTTGTAATTTCTACCTAAACCAATGAAAAAAGCTGTGTGAGCATGCTTTATTCAATGTTCTGGATCATAAAATACAGATAGAACCTATTATTAGTCATTATAAATCAGGCATTTTTAAAAAACTCAGCATAGAATGTTTAAGTTATATGCTTTACTGGTTTTATAAAATTCTATTGGCAATTATAAATGATCTCTTCAGAAATTATGAAAATGAGAGCCTGTGGAACTGATGACTTGTCATTTCCTCCAATATCTTCCTACAAAGCTGCAATAGCCTTGTGTCCAATCTCCCTATTCCCTGCCCTCCTGCTCCCTGCAAACTTCCCACATCAGAACAGTAAATCTGATTATGTCCCTCCCTTGCTCAAATCCCTCTGTTGATGCTTTGTGAAACCCCAAGTTCCTACCAGAACTTACAAGGCCCCAAATGACCTTGAACTTCCTTGACTTTTATTTCACCTCCCACCATCCCCTCTCCATTCCCCCTGCCCCAGCTAAACTCACACCCCCTTGCAGTTCCTAGAGCCCCTCAAACACATTCCCTCCTTTTTAAAAATTTATTTATTTATTATAAAGATGTGGGGTACAATTCAGGGTTAGGTATACAAACATTGATCATGCAGGCACCCTTGTTGATGAGGTATGCCCCTCCCTCCCCTAGCAGTTACCTCCTTAAGGCCTCATGCCAGCTACACCCAGTGCCTGGCATGAGCCCTCTCCAATCTTCACATGGCCAATGCCCCTCATTTCATTCAGTATCTGCTGAAACATCACCTACCCCTTTCCCCTGTTTTATAATCCCCTATCTGTTTTATTTTTCTCCCCATCATGTACCTCCCTGTGGATGAATTCTAATGTTTGCTTACTGTCTGCCTCTCCCCATTAGAACATAATGAGATCAGGGACTTTTGCTTTTTTCCTCAGTGCCAAGAGCAGTGCTGGGCCAGAGTAGTTGTGCATTACAAGTGAGTGGGATGAATGAACTCGTCCATCAGTGCATGTGAAACACTGCATGTCTCTTAGCTCAGGAAGGGGGAAGAGAAATTTGGTACACAATATAAATCTAGTCTGAACACACGGAAGAAAATAAGGGTAGGATTTGGAAGTTATCCAGCGAATCAGAGAAAACAACTATATTAGGAAACTCAAGCAAAACAAAACCTAAATCAATGGCTGAATTATCAAATATGGACTGCCTACACTGGCCAGATTCCTGAAAATCACACTTATGCTTTAGACACAGGAGTAGAAATCTCTGTTTTTCTACTTTTGTGTCTACTCTGCTTTTCTACTCTATTCCCTAACTGAAAAATAAACAGGTAGATTGTTAGAATATGACCGAGAATATGTTGTTAAAGATGTGCACAAAAATTTTAGATAGAAGCAAAAAGCACCTGAAGACTCATCAGATGCTAGACACTGTGCTAGCTGTTGGCCAGAGAAACACAAGTTAAGAAGTTCCCAACAGAAATAGGTGCAAGGAGCAAGTCTAGCTCAAGGGAAGTGATGTCTGAACTGTGTCTTGAAAGGTAATACGAGAATTCCATAAGCAAAAAGTATCCGGGGCAGTATTCCGAAAAGACGAGGCGATGTGTGCCAAGATGTGGCACAAATGGCACCCTGCTAAGAAGCTGTAAGTAGTCTGTGTGGTTACAGCAAGAGTAAAGGGTGAACAAACACCAAGGGACAGACGGCGAAGTGTCCGGCCCACCAGACACAGGAACTTAGACTTAAACACACGGGAACGCAAGATCACCAAGAAGCCTCACGCAGTGTGGAAGTCATAGACAGATACTGGATTTTTTAAAAATTAAAATATTACAATCATTTGGTTCTGTTGACCAACACTACAAGTATATAATTATCTTACTAGAATTTCAGGATTTTATCCTATCAGCATACCATACATATGCAACACAATATTTTTCATAATTTTATTTTGTGGTTTAGTCTGTAGTGCAAGATTGAAACGGCATAAATGTTGATCAGTAGAAAACGGATTATAGAAAGTCTTCTTGCATGCAATCAGTGAAGTATTTTCCAGTTACTAAATAGGATGAGAAGGTTGTAGAATTCACTCACATGGATATAAAAACTGCATCGCTAAGGGTAGACAGCATGTGTGCAGGCAGTGTGTAAAATACCTTAATGTTTGTAAAAAAACAAATTCATCCACACAAGACTAGAAGCACTGACACTTCTAAAAGGGGAGAGAATGAGATGTACTTTCCATTTCTAAATCTTTTGTTCTTTAAGAAAAATTATAAAAGCTAGTTTTAAATAACTATGAATTTCCTGTCATTTAAAGTTCTTGGCAAGGTCCTATATTTTTAGCCTCTCTGAATGAAGTCCCAACTAATATAAAATTTTTATATTGCAAAGTGTTTTTTGCAATGTTTTCCTCAAATATGTATTCAATTCCTGACATGGTGAAAATGCCCAGAAAATTGTATGATCCAAAGAGCATTCATCAAAAAGACCAGTATTCAGTGGAATTGGAGCAACTCCTTGAAAATATTTTTATAGTCAAGATGCATTCGGTTAATAAAAAGCAAATCCATGTGAAACAACAATGTGATAAAATAATCTGCAAATTCTGCAGCACTGGCTAAGGGTAGTAACGACACTCGCCATGGTCGCAAATGTTAGAAAATATCCATCTACCTCAGAGCTGCTCCCCTGCAGAAGTCGAGATTTGGGTTGATGCTGACTTTCACCAGGCTCTTCCGCAGAATTAGTCTCTCTTTTGGGTTCATCTGGAGTGACTTGCTTTATAAACTGATGCGCCACATCCAACACACCAGATAATACTTGAGATCTTGCCTATTTAAAAAGAAATGAAAACTGAACAGAGTCTGATATATCAGCCTAAATAATTTATATACATATCATATTTTCATTATTTGATGACTCCTAAAATTAAATCACTTTTAATATTTAAACAGACAAATTTATATTTGTGTCAACCAATGTAAGAATGACAGCTGCCATCTACTGAGGGAAACAGTTTGGGCTCACATGAGCCTAACCATTTAAAACAACTCTCTTTATCTGTTTTAAGGATAAAGAAACAAGTTCAGAGAGTGTAGATAACTTGCCCTTGTCCCCCAGGGTAAGGAAGTGACCCAGGCATGTGCCGTTCTCGTGGCCTGTGGGCTTTCCCCTACAGACAGACATGCTACCTTGTGGCTAACCTGGTGGGAGCCTGAGTAAGTGGTGATGAGTATTCCTTGGCAATAAAACATCTTTAGAAAGAATTCACTGTCCAAAAGTGCACACCAGGAAGTGCCCCAATCTGCAGTTCCTTAGTAAACCCTGAGTTGTCCTCTTTTCATACTTTTGCTCATAAGGTTCTCCTACCAGGAAGACATCCCTCTTCCACCAATATTCACTGGCAGAACTTACGTCTATGTCATCCCAAGTTACTCCATAGGTCTAGGGTCCTTTCCTTGACCCCCAAATGTGTGAGGTATCTCCCCTCTCTGCCCCCTTGACACTTTGAGTAGACCCCCACCAGCCCTTACAACACTGATTTTATATCACTGTGTGGTGTCTGTCTATTCCATTATACCATACAAGCTCATACACAGCACAACCATGTATCTTAAAACTGTGTGGCTACCATAGAGCCTTGAAAACAGCATGTGGTAAAAATAAAATGTTGAGGAGGAAGGAGAAGAGAGCCGCAATTAAAATAAATCATTGAGAAAAAGAATTTTAAAAACAGAAGAGTCTTCTGACATGCTGTCAGAGCAACTGACAGGAACAGGCAAACTTTGGAATGGCCCTACTCTCTGAAGGGCCTCCTGTCCACAGCTGGCTGCCCAGGGACTGCGGGTCTGGGTCACATCTGAGTGGGAACCACACTCCAGGGGGAGACTCTGTATCTTCAGAGACCCTGTGAGAACCTGGCATGAGGAAGACAAGAAGTAGGGCTTACTTCTTACCAAGTGTCTTCAAGACAGGAAAATCTCAGGAGGCATCAAAACAATTATTTAGTACTTTCCTATGAAAACACTCCTATTTTTAAACTTTCATCCAGTTACCACTTTAATTGGCTAAGATTACATTGGAGCTTTTCAGTTATGGCCTTTTATAAGTCTATTAAGATTCATTGCAGTCTGATAGTAGAATATATCAGTGAACATCAAATTAATGAGTGTTATTTCACACTGAATTAATAAATCACTGTGAAAAATGACAAATGTGACCTATGCACATATGTTGCTGTCTGTACACAAAGGTGTGGTGTCTGCTCCAAATTTCCCCAGAAAGCCTACATAGACCAATATTGACCTGTTATTTTTAAAAGAAATTCAAGAATATGGCAATGCTTCATTCTCCCAGGAACATCTGAAATTTAACAAATATTTTAAAACAGAATAATCCAACCAACCCAAGCATAATTTTAAATTAAATAAAGGTCTTTAGATTTCAAAAGCAGTTACAATATCTGGTTTTTATGTTTATAAAATATCAAGAGCAACAGTATTAATTTTATATAGAACTATCAAGATAGAATTAACATTCAAACATACGTTTATTTAAATAACACAAAACAAAGATTATTCCTGTCCTAAAATGTATTCTGCTATCAATGTTTCAATAATTGTATAACATTTTTTAGATTCTAAAATGGCTCCCCCAAAATAATTGTTTTCTTTAGTTAAATTTACTGCAAAAATAAGATAAATATGGATAACTGATGAAATTAAATTCTATATTTGAATTTTTTTTTTTTTTGAGTTGGAGTCTCACTGTGTCACCCAGACTTGGACCTGCCTCAACCTGCTGGGCTCAGGCGATCTTTCCGCCTCAGCCTTCCAAATAGCTGGAACTACAGGCGTGCGCTACCACGCCCATCTAATTTTTTATTTATTGTAGAGATGAGGTCTCATCAAGTTGCCCAGGCGGGTCTCGAACCTGCGGGCTTAGGCAATCCACTCACCTCAGCCTCCCCAAGTGAGGGATTACAGGCTGAGCCACCGAGTCCAGCTAATTTGAATATCTTAAAGTTCAATTACTTCTGCATATAACTGAAATAAATAAAATGACAATAAATGGATCTTTCTTAGAACATCATACACTTAAGTATTACTTTTCTCCAGTGGAAGACTGTATGTGTATGTATGTGTATATATATATATAAAAAAATAAAGTGTGTGTATATATATATATATATACACACACTTTATTTTTTTAATCTTATAATAATACAAGGAAAGAGATCAGATATTATGAGCCCCATTGCAGACAAGGAAATTCAAGTTCAGAAACCTTAGGTCAAAGTCAAATGGTTACAAAATATTGGAACTTGGAGTAGGACCAAGGTCTTTAATCTGACCTATGGCTTTTTCTCTACTGAATTTATGTTAACTTCATAATTCAGAAAATGTGTTTTACCTTTGGTTTTCTGAAACTGAAAATATTAAATCTTATCTCTAAAATATCTAAGCTTTGTCATTCCTTTAAATAAACTCACAAAACTACAGTTCTGTTTACAGTTACCTATGCAAGAATTCAGTGGTTGAGTATTTTGTTTTTAACTTATTTTTGGCTGTTTATTTTTATGTTTGACCAAGTTTGTAGAAATAAATCATAGTCCCACCATATTAAAGTGTAAGCAATTGAGGCTGAGGTGAGAGAATTGTCTGAGCCCACGGGTTCAAGATCAGCCTGGGCAACTTGGCAAGACCTCATCTCTACGATAAAAATAAAAAAAATAGCTGGCCATGGTGGCATGTGCCTGCAATTTCAGCTACTTGGAAGGCTGAGGTGGAAGGATCACCTGAGCCCAGCAGGTCAAAGCTGCAGTGGCTGTAAGTGTGCCACTGCACTCCAGCCTGAGTGACAGAGTGAGACTCCAACTCAAAAACAAACAAAGAAACAAACAAACAAAAAAACAATGGAAGATCCTTCCAGTTCATAAATAGTATTCCACAAGGTAACTACTGGAAACAACATAGAAAACACTTCTGTAAACTTTGTCTCTTCTTGGAAGGATATATATAGATTTGCTACAGAAAACACATTATCTTTCATTTTGTGATATAACAAAAATCACGTTTATAACCAATGAATAAGAATGTGAAGATTTGTTATAAAATATTTGAAGTAGATATTAAGATAGATTTAAAACCAAGCATACTAAGTATCATACCACTCTACCATATATTAATGAAATACTTTTAATTTTTTGAAATTTATTTGTATTTATTTTAAAGATGTGGGGTACAATTCAGGATTAGGTAGATAAATGGTCATAGTACGGGTAATGTTTGGGCCTCCCTTTGGTCCCCACTTCGCCTGGTTTGAGATCAGGTACGCTTATGAATGTTATGTGCCTCCCCCCCCCCCAGCTCCCGGCAGTTTCCCACTACTGCCAATTACTTTCTTATAGCATTGTAATAAATGTTCAGGGTCTGCTTATCAGAACATGTGGCACTCAGTTCTTTGCTTCTGGATAGATCACTATTATAGACTCTAAATCCATCCAAGTTGCAGCAAAGTCCATATTTTTATTCTTCTTTATGGCTACATAATATTCCACTGTGTATATGTACCATATTTTTTTATCCAGTACACTTTCGATGAACAGCATGGTTGGTTCCATGTTTTTGCTATTGTGAATAATGCTGCAACAAGAATGCATGTGCAGGTTTCTTTTTTATAGAGTGTTTTGAATTCCTCTAGCTATATTCCCAGAAGGGGGATTGCTGGGTTGTATGGGAAGGTCAATTTTTACATTTTAGGAATTGCCACACTGTTTTTCACAGAGGTTGTACTAGTTTACACTACCACCAACGGTGTGTAAGCATTCTCTTTTCCCTGTATTTTCTCGAGCATCTGTTGTTTTTTGAGTTATTGGTGATAGTCATTCTGACTGTAGTTAGATGATATCTCAGTGTGGTTTTAATTTGCATTTTTGATGATTCATGAGGCTAAGCATTTTTTAATGTATCGATTAGCTGCATGCATGTCTTCTTCTGAGAAGTGTCTATTCAAATCTTTTGCCCACTTTTTAACAGGGTTGTTTGGTGTTTTTTTTTTTTTTTTTCCTTTTTGACATGTTTTTTTTTTTTTTTTTTTTCCTTTTTGACATCCTGAAGATCCTGGATGTTAGGCCTTTGCCAGATTTACAGTTGGTAAATATTTTTTTTCCATTCTGTGGGCTATCTCCCTGGGAGCGCTTTTGATAGTTTCTTTTGCTTTGCAGAAGCTTTTCAGTTTGATGAGGTCCCATTTGTCTATTTCATCTTTTATGGCATTCTCTTTTGGAGAGTTGATCAGGAATTGGTTGCCTATTCCAATTTCCGTAAGGATGTTTCGTACATTTCTTCTAGGATTCTTATAGTTTGAGGTTTTACATTTAGGTCTTTGATCCATTTAGAGTTGATTTTGTATATGGTGATAGGTAGGGATCCTGTCTCAATCTTATGCATGTAACCAGCCAGTTTTCCCAGTACCATTTACTGAGTAAGTTCTCCTCTCTACAGTGGTTGTTAGTGAAGGCTTTGTCAAAGATGAGTTGGTTGGGAAACTGAGGTTGTGCTTCCAGGATCTCTATCCTGTTCCATTAGTCTATATGCTTGTTCTTGTACCAATACAAGGCTGTTTTGATTATTGTAGCTTTATAGTAGAGCTTGAAGTCTGAAAGTGTGATACCTCCCACTTGGTTGCTTCTGTTGAGGATTATTTTGGCTATTCCTGGTCTTTTATGTTGCCATATGAATTTCTGTATAGTCATTTCCAAGTCTAAGAAGAATGATTTTGGTAATTTAATGGGTATTGTATTAGTCTGTAGATTGCCTTTGGTAGGATAG